GCTCGTCTCACCCCGATATGGCGCTGGCGTGGATATCAGACTACCTGGGCGAATTGTATTTGGCTCAGGAATGGGAGGTTATGGTGGTCAAGTCACCTCAGCAATCAAACGGCTACGATTGTGGTGTACATGTGATCACCAATGGAATTTGCATGGCTTTGGGGTTGGAGCCAGTTGCAAGCTACTGCGTGGAAGAGATGCCTCTTCAGAGACTACGCATTGCCGGAATGCTACTGAATGGAGGACTTAATGGGGAATTTGACCTTTGGAAACATTGAATTGAAATGCATCATGCAGGGCGTTGGAAACGGGAAAGGGAAATATATTACATGAAAGGACAACCAAGGATTGTTTAATTGGGCGTTAAAAAGGAACGGAACGGCAAGAGCATTTGGAATGGCAAGCAAGCATTTTTTTTTTTACATTGGAAAGGAAAGAAAGGATATCCACAAGCATTTTTTTAGCATTGGAAAGGAAATGAAGGCAAAGGAAAGGGAATGAAATGATACCAAGAGAAAGGAAAGAGTTTGGGTATATACTTAGATACCTGGTATAGGTCAATTGGTTGATACGTTAATTTGTCTTGTTTTCTCCTGCGATGTCCTGTGATGTGCTCTCTCTGCTCTCCACTCCTCGGTTAGTAGCTGGCTCACTCCGATATTGGTAGATGTGATGCGATGGCTACCAGCGTCGCTTGACCCTGGTCAAGCTAATAGAAACTAACCAGTCTGATTGGCCGTAGTTGAGCAAGGGGATTTTGTTTGATTGAGTGGTCCGAGTCCACGGATCTGGCCGACGCTGGCCAATCTTGGGACTCAGTTAATGTAAGCGGCCGCGATCAGGCATGGTGGCTTTGATCGAGTAGGATGTTCGATCCAGGTGGTTGGTTGCATTTGACCTGGACGGGTTACAATCAAGCCGATGGCTTTGTTCGAGTATGACGGCTCCATCAATTGGGCAATCACTCTGCTTCTTGCTCGAACCGTTGCTGTTATCGTTGTTATACTATTCTTTCCATTTCGAAGACTTGTTCTTTTTCAGTGGAATGGTTATTCGCCACTCTCAGTTACTGCCATTTGAGAGAGTTTATATGCATTTGTTATTCTTTATATAGGACTCGAGGCTGTCAATAAGAGAGCGGCTTGTCTAATCTCGTTGCAGCCCTCGGAATAAAGAGCTGCTACATACGTACGTTATACATGCACCAAAAAAGATAATCAAGTAGAGATTCCTTGTTATTTCTGTGAGATATTCCATTTTTTTCATGGTCTCTTATATTGTGCACAGCGATGAGATCTTCGCTTAGGTGGGTCAATTGGGACATGTACAAGGATCTGATGGATTTTGAGTCAATTTGGTTGTGCACGCGTGCAACGTTTCTTCAATGTACAATCAAGTCCATCTGGTTATACCAGAGGCATTTTCATGGATCAAGGCCAGCCAACTAGTACGATGAGAAGCAACATGATTGTCTCATATTGTTGACAAATTCACAAAGTTTAGACCAAAATTTAACCTTGCCGTCCAGAGCCAGAGTCAAATGGTGTTTCCTAATCCAGCAACCATGGCTTATGCCGCTACTGGCTGAGATCTGCACTCACAAGATGGTGCAACTTGACACATTGCCTACGCCGAAATAGAGAGGCTATCAGACTACCATTTGTGTATAGGTGTGCATGTGTCATGTACAAGTAGGTATGTTTGCGGCAGATGTGAACAATTCAATTTACAATTTACAATCAGGGAGCAAGATCGGCCGTGGCATGCCGCTCGTTAGGGCTCAGTCAGCGCTATAGGATATCGTTGCTGCTGCTACTGCTGCTTCCTGTCCTCTGCAGCTACTGGCAGTTGACGGCTCACGGTATCAATCGCTACATTCCGTCTTCTCCCGCTGCTTATTGTGACAGGTTCTGGGCTAATTACAGTAACTACAGTAGGTAGGTGCCATAAATACACCGGCATTTGGCATCAGGCGTGGCGAGATGGAAAAGAGAGGCGTAAGCCTAAAAATAACGTGAGCGCTTCACCCAGCAGAAACAAGCCAGGTATATGTTTCGCCCAGCATTGAGCGGTGTAGTCTTTCGCATTCGCACAGGCACGAGCAGGTTATGGCGGTGCGACAGGCCTGGCCTGGGATTCGGACGGGCTGGCCGCTGGAGCAAAGGGAAAAAAAGGGATCCAAGTTGCGCCGGTCGTATTCATGTCAGGATCTTTTCTTCTTCTGTTGCCTCCCTGTTTCCTCTGGTGCGATGACCCACGGAGCGGAACAGGTTAGGAAGATGGCCTGTGCTATAAGTTGCAGGTTTGCCTGGCCGCCTACGTGGCAGCACGAACGTCGAGACAGAGACAAAGAAGAGACAGAGAGAGAGACAACGAGTCAAATGTGCACCCTCGGACCAGCAGCGTCGAGATGCCAGTGCCTAGACTAGCGACGCAAGGGATGCTTTCCTTTGTATACTTGTACTTGGCTGGAATCCAGTCTGTCCTCTCGCTTCGCGCAACTGGCCTATGTGCTGCGTCCATGTGGCTCTGACCAAGTCCTACACGTCAACTATAAGATGTTGAGCAACTGAGCCCTGGAGTGCTAAAAATGCACCGCGGTCTGTGCTGGCGCTGCTAGCGGCATGTTGCATCGTTATGACATGGCGGCGGCGGCTTTGTCAAATCGTCATGGCACGATTCAAGCGCCCCCTCCCAGATGCCAGAGCTGCCAGTGTGACGAGTCGGCACAGCCACAAGCCACCCAATCATGTCGGGTGACGCGCTCTGCAGGCGGGGACCCGCGCGCCCTTGGCCTTGATCCAGGGAGACAAGCAGGGATCGCCGGCGTGCTGAGGCTCCCTTCTAGTGGCTTTCTAGCGGCCAGTCACTGCCTGGTCCAGCCTGGGTCCAGCCCGGGTCCAGCAGCGATGCGCACAGTGCGCCGTGCGCCGCGCTGCTAGGCCCGGTACTGGCGGTGCGACGTCTACCAGGTCGGCGGGAGCTGGCGACGCTGTTTGGTCGGCTGGCCCAGCTTCCAGCGGGCTTCTAGTGTGTCTCTGGTGGCACGGCAGCCGCCAACACCGAGGGGACAGTGCGGCCATGGAACCTGAAATGCATTGCCCCCTCGCAGGCTTCTTGGGCTCGAAGCCACATGACTACCTACCTATACGAGAGCGCAGCGCATCTTGCTGAGGGAGCGCCCGCACTTTGCCAGCGGTCTGCAAGTACCGGTCAAGTACCCCGCAGGACTCTCCGGCCACTCATTTCGTCAGGCCCTTTTTTTTTTTTTCTGGGGCTGTCGCCTCTTTTTCCTTTTTTTCTTCCTCGTAACCATCGTTTTCTCTCCCTCGGCACTGCCCACTCTTTTCTTCGCTGAAGATGCCTAGATCGAACGGGAGGAAAAAAAACCTGACCACTGAATGGGCCATGATCACCAGATTTTCGAGGAATGCCACACACTAGTCCCGAGGCACGGCAGTCCTTTTTAGCATCAACTGGTTACTGGTACTACTACCTGCACTGGGACTAGCACCCGGCGAAATCTACTGCGAGATACCGCCCATGCTGCAGGGCCAATTGAGCGATTGGCGGTACCGGTACGCCAGAGCAACAGCTCCGTCCGGGTACATGTACATGCCTCGTGCCTGCCCTCCTGGCCAGCTTTGGGAAGAGATCTCCATCGCGGTTGTGCTTTTCCTCCGCTTTCGTGCAGCTGCGAGAGGGTTAAAGACGGCTTTCGGTCGTATGCTGCAAGCGGCGCTGATTCAGGAACTTGTTTACTTGCCTACTCCTTGCAAATTCTCCCCTCTTCCTCCTCCTTGTTCTTTGCTTCTTTTAATGTCCGTCGCTAATAAGTGATCTACGGAGAAATTATTTCGGGAGAAAAAAAAATTGCGACTAGGCGATGCCGATGCTACGTATGGCTCGGCAGTGGTAGTAGTAGTAGTATTTGATTTTTTTTTTTTTTTTCCGCGCTTCTGTTTTTCGCCTCCTAAGCTCAGCTGGAACAAAAAGAAGGGGCGGAGAAAAAAAAGAAAGAGCCACAGAATCACGCCTCCCGATCCCCGATAGGCCTTCGATGCTGATTTAGCTCGCAGCCAAGGAAGGCTACTAGGGAAGTCGCCTGTGCTGCCCCACCTGCCTGTGCATCTGTGCCTCCTGCCCCCGCCACCTCATCCACCCTGGTGGGATGTACCATTCGCTGCATGAGTCCGTACAAAAGAATGTATCTTCCGCCACTCGTCCATTCTTGTTCTGCCCTGCTTCCGGATACTTCGCGTCCTTGGCCAAGGTGCTTCTGAATCTCTGCACGCCACAAGACAGACGATCCCGTCCTCACCGCCGTCGCTCCTTCACTCTCGTCGAGTCGAGCCATTCCTCGCTTCATAATCACGGCATTTCCAGTATCAGATACCCAACCATCTAGACTGTCTTCTTATCCTCCTCTTCTCTCACCCTCTCTATATCACGACCGACCTACCTTTTTGAGTCTTGATCTGCTCGATTCAGCATCCGGCCCCAGTTCATGTACCGTACAGTACAAGTACAGCACTAGAAGCCATCCACCTGTGTTTCTGTCCTGTTTCTGCGCCTTTGCTCATCCCCCCTTGTGGATCCTGACGCATTACGTGACCATCTTAATAGAGTTGGCCTGGGTTCATCACTTGAGTTGCTGCTACTCCGCTTTCATCCGGCCCAGCATCAGCATTTGTTAACACTCGGGGCTGGGACTCACTTTATTACTTATCAGTTGCATCGTTCCCGGATGCTCAACCACGATACACGACCATTGGCTTGATTGGCTGTCTCCGCGTCCCCTCTCTCTCTCACCGAGTCTCCCCTTCTCAGCTTCTCAGCATCTCAGCATCTCAGCATCGCATCATACATTTTGTTGCACCGCCGTTATAACTGCTGTTTGCCCCTAGAGTTCTTTTGGTAAGGGCCTATCCGAGTGCTCTTGCCAAAAGTCTATTGGGATCATACACTGCAAAAGAGGCACCTCGGTGTAACAGCATAGCATGGTCAAACCCAGGATAAGACAACAAACTCTCGGAGTCGTCTTCACGAACACAACAAGACACCAGCCACGGCCCTTGTCTGCGTTCGAGGACTTCAATGAAGCATCACTTACACCATACTCACGTCCGACCAGCTTCGCCTCCTCATCCGAAGCATCATCTCCTCGATACACCATGACGGGTCACCCTCCGACCCTCAACGAGATCCTTCTCGATACCGCCCCTCCGCCATGGACCCTCACGGCCTTCATGGCCTACCTCTCGCAGAACCACTGCATGGAGACGCTGGAGTTTACTCTTGATTCCCAGCGTTATACTGCCTTCTACGATCAGTTCTTTTCCGAAGCGACCGCCTCTGATGAAAATCGGGAAAAGGTCTGCGCCTGGTGGGAGAAGCTGATGCAGATCTACATCGTTCCCTGCGCCCCTCGCGAGGTCAACATTCCCGCTCAGGTCCGAGATTGCCTCCTCCGCGTGCCGTATGGCCCCAATCCTCCTCACCCCTCCGAACTTGCCGAAGCGGGACGCATCATATACGAATTAATGAATGATTCTCTCTTGGTGCCCTTTTTGGAATCCGTCGCTGCGCCCATGCCCGACAGCCATCATGACTTCCATTTTGGATCGCCCAAGGCTTCGTCTGACCGAACAGCCTCGAGCGGCACGGATCTGGATGTTTTGACGGTTGAAAGCGATCCCAATTCACCCGTCACGGAGCCCATGACGCCCCCTACTACACCACCCACCTCGGAATGGACCTTCAACACGTCGCCCGGCGGCTTTCACCGTGCGGTAGCGGCGCATAACAAAGGCTGGAAAAAGGTCGGCGCAAAGCTGGGTTTCAATCGCAAAAACTCTAGCCGGAGAACAACACCCACATCTTCAGGAGCTGAATCCGGAGAGATGAGCTTCAGCACTAGCAACCACTCATTCTAAAGAGCTTCAAAATACGCCCAAAAGTTCCATATGTTCCACTCCACCTTTTCCTTGCCAATCTTCACCCCCCTTATCCCCCCTTACATTGGACACTTCCGAGTAGTCCGATCCCCGCTCCCAACATCCTGCATATGGAGGCTGCGGGGGATTACTAAATCGCCACACTGATGGTGCTACCGAATCTCGACTTGCAAATCCCCATTTGACGAATTGCAAGGCGATGAGATTTTACATGCTGAGAAGCAATTATGATCGGGCGTAACCAATGGCTGAGAATCGCCTACTTTGCCCTGTTGATCAGACTCCACATACGTGGCCACATCAGATACCCCGAGGAGTCAACATACCACCTCAGGAGACATGCGTGGCCGCTCGATCCGAGTTAGCTGTCTCCTAGACCTTGCTTCAATGGGACAACCAAACGCTCACGGCTGGGATTGTACTTGAACTACCGATCCCAAGTCATTTACCATTCTTTTTTTATATTTCATTTCCTCTGAACCAGGGGGAGTTGTACAACACATTCGGTGACTATGCTGAGGACATCTCAGCAGGCTGCCTTTGTCTTAATACATATACCTCATGTAGCGTGTTATTCAATTTACGAATTTATGGGATCCACGGCCTTGTCATAGGTGAAACGGAGTTTATCGGGGGTTCTGGCGGTACATATATACATTTTACTTGGTGTTTTCATCTCTTTTGTCAAATTTTTTTTTTTTTTTTTTTTTTTTTTTTTTTTTTTTGCAAGGAGTCATCAAAGCGTGCGTGGATCATTCATAATGTATTATCACATAATACTCAATCAACTTCGGCCCTGCCGCAGATTAACATGACCATGATGTTATTCTTTAGTAGATAGAGATAGGCCAATGAATATCTAGATGGCTCAACAACATGCCGCGTTAGTGAAACGTATAATTTGCGAATGTGTGGCGAATACAGAGCATAATTAATAGCTCGCAGATCAGGTTGCAAGTTTGCTTCATATTGTTACACCTGGGGCATATTCATTAAGTGCCCTTTCTATGTACACATTCCTTTCTAATAATATCCCCCTTTTTTTCCCTTACAGGAATATTTCAAGACATCTAGTCTAAACGATTTTCCTTTCTCCCGTTTGATAGCATTTTGATTCAGCCCAATCCCCAAAGGAGATTTTGATGTAGAGATGACAAACATGGAAACAGCATTTGAAAGAAAGAAAACATTCCCCGCTATTTATCTAGCCAAGAAAGAGAATCCCATATAATTCGACATTGAGTTGCATTAACCGATCGAATCTCGCATTTCAGAGAAATAAGCATTCTTTGTGTAAACTTTTTTTTTCCGCCAAAGAGATAACTACTGACAACTTTTGCCCCTTCATGATTGGAACGCACCGCTCCTCAGCTGAGGGGATGCACGATACCGACCCGTCTGCGCAGGGACCTCGGTGAGTGGCAACAAAGACGTTCCATTCCGTGGTTCGGACATCATTCGTGCGGTTCGGTCGGCCTTGTTGCTTTCGCTGGTGCGGTCATAGAGATAGAGACCTAGGAAGGTGAGGGCAATACCCACTGCCTGGACGGAGGTTGTTGGGCTTCTGAACCAGATGATGGCCATGACAATAACAAAAACGCGTTTGATGAGACTGGCGACGGAATATGTGACTGGAGATACCATGGAGAGGAGGATGAAGGCAATGATGTTTTGTCCAAAGTGGAAGATGCCGTTGAAGATGAATTCCAACGTCAGGCGGCCATGGTCCATCGAATTGGGTAGCTCGCTGAGGTCTACTGAGCCGTCGTGGAGGAAGTCCTTTAGAAGAGTGATGCCCTCCGTCCAGAACCAAATCGGCATAGTCAGGGCAAAAGCCATACCGGACGAGTAGCACAGCAGATTGAGCTTATCGAGCTTCCTGGATTGAACGCCACCACCCTCAGACTCGACTTTCGCGGCTTCGTTGAAGAGCTTTTTCGAAAAGATGTTTTGCGTTACGAAGATGAGGGTCGCCAGGAGCGCTTCCAGCACACCGAGGAGTTGGCCACCGTAGCTTCGTTCGCTGGAACAGGCCAGCATGACTCCTAACGTCAGTGGAATCAAGGAGAGGTAGGTTGCCGTGGGGTATCGTATGTTGTAAATCAGTCTATAGGCGAGCACGGTAAAGAGCGGCGAAAGGCCCTTTATCGTGTGAACGAGCGAAACAGGTATTTTGGCCGTCGCAGTCGAGCTGAGGAGATGGCCGCCGATCTGGAACATGGCCAGGGGTAGCGTTGTCATGATGACTTCCCTGCTGGGTTGGCGGATGGGGTGCCGTAACGCAGAGATGTTTGTGCGAAGAACAGGGAAGATGCCGGACAGCCAGGAGAGAAAGACGCAGAGCGAAGACACAAACGCAAATTGAATCAGCGTCAGCGTTGCGGGCATGTTGAAGGCGTTGAGGATGGACTTTGACGACGTATTCGTCAGAGCAGACGACGTGTACCACATTAAGCAGAGAACCTACGGACGAAGATTAATTTCCTCGGCCATTCATTCGTACGCAAGGCAGGGAATGAATATGAACATACGACAAGCTTTGGGGACACTGGAGCTCGTAGCGCATCGGCGATTTCATGGGCATTTTGGCTCATGCTTCCATTTCTGGCTCGAATCGTTCGGAATGCATCGCCGAGGCTCTTTTGGCGGCCGTGGGTGCGGCCGGACGAGGACCAGGCGCTTCTCGCGGGGTAGCCATTGGGACTGAGGTTGTTGCCATTGAAGGCCATCGACGGCGAATTCAGGGAATTGGCATCGTTGAGGGAATCATTGCCCAGACTTGGTGATGCTGCAAGGCTCGGAAACTTTTCCATTACGCAGCGGCGGTGGGTCGAGCTGCCTTTGAAGGTCGTAACGGTAGAGAGAGACAGAGGAAGACTCGATTTCCAGCGGCTTGAATCAATCAATGGAGAGGGCCGGTCTCGAGTATTGGTGTCTTTCTCTGGGCGCGCGCTCGAGCGATTTGATTCAAGGGCGGGTGCTGACGGTTGGAAGATTAAAAGAAGCCAACGTTCAATGTAGAGGCGGTGCCGGTGGTGGGTTACGCCGTTGCATCAATTGACATCTGGAATACGAGCTGAGAACGAGAGACAGGGGTGGATCGCTAGATGGTCCATTACCACAGAGCCATGCAAAGTCGATGGCTTCGAGGCAAATGGCAAGAAGAGATGATGAATATCAAAAGAGAAAAACTATGCGGGGAGAGAAGAAAGAAGCAAAGTCGGACAACGCAGGGAATAAAAAAAAGCTGCGTCTGCAAGGTGGAAAGGAGATCGACAGCGTGCGGATTTGGTGCAACGCAGAGATGCTTCGGGCTAGACAAAAGGAGTCGCCCGGCTGGCGAATCTCTTGGCGGCGATATCCTGGTACCTGGCGCTCTTAGCCGGCTTTTCCCCGATAGCCGCGTCCACGCGCTAGCGCTTGGCAGACACGATTGCTGGATATTTTTTTCTGGGAAAAGCTGTTGCCACTAGGCAGTCGGTAGGGGCTCCGTCCAGCAGAAGCGTATAGCTGCAACTTGATGCTTTATCTCCGCCAACCTCTCGCATTGGATCTGCGCCGTCGCCCGTTGCTTGCCTGAGACGATCCCATCCACCGAGACAGCTGTTTTTGTCTCTGTCTCTGCAGAGCCTCCCAGCTTGGCCGCGGCATGGGAAGAGATCCGAAGCAATACGTCGTCGCTCTCGCAGGTCTCTACGCTGTTTTCCAGCTCCTCACTCAGTCGACAAACCCAGCCAAGTCCAACAGCAGTCTTTCGCCAAACTCGAATTCACCATGGCGGCCCCAAAGATGACCAAGAACCAGATGCGGAGGGCGAAGAAGAAGGAGCAGAAGAAGGCCAAGACAGAAGAAGTGCGTCTCCATCTAGATCCCGCCCACTATCATTTACGCGTCTCGCAGTTTCTCACCTTGATGCAGGTCCAACCATCCGAAGAGTCTGATGGGCCAATTGCCGAGAAGAAGGATGCATCATCGCCACCGCCTGAAGATGACGCCGATGCCAAAAGTGCGACCGACTCCGCGAAACCCTCCGCGGCTGCTACCGATCCAATCCGAGAAGACCTGCTCGACGACGACCCTGCGTTTGCCGCGTACAGAGACATATTCAGCAAGTTTGGCGTCTCTTTTGTGGAGGATCAGATCGCCAAGGAGGCCAATGCTGGAAACCAGGGAGACGTTTTCTTCGGCGACAATGACGACATCCCTGATGAAGAGGAGGAATCCGGCCAGCAGAAATTATCAAAGAAGAAGCGGAAGCAGCTAAATAAACTATCCGTTGCGCAGCTCAAGGCGCTCGTCGGCATCCCGGAAGTGGTCGAATGGCACGATGTCTCAGCTTCAGATCCCCGACTCTTGGTGCAAGTCAAGGCACAGCGAAACGTCGTTCCCGTACCGGCTCACTGGGCAATGAAGCGAGAATACCTATCGTCAAAGAGGGGAATTGAGAAGTCAGCATTTCGCCTGCCCAAATTCATCGCCGAGACTGGAATTGCAGAGATGCGCGACGCAGTGTTGGAGAAACAAGCAGAGCAAACTTTGAAACAGAAGCAGCGAGAACGAGTCGCGCCAAAGATGGGCAAATTAGACATCGATTATCAAAAGCTCTACGATGCTTTCTTCCGGTTCCAGACGAAACCTGAGCTGACGCGATTTGGCGAGGTGTATTACGAGGGCAAGGAAACCGAGGTCGACTACCAGCACTTTCGTTCTGGCGAGTTGAGCGATACGACAAAAGAAGCACTTGGTATGCCACCCGGAGCACCACCTCCCTGGCTCATCAACCAGCAAAGATTCGGCACCCCTCCCTCCTACCCTACTTTAAGGATACCAGGCTTGAACGCGCCGCCGCCGCCTGGCGGATCATGGGGCTTCCATCCTGGTGGCTGGGGCAAGCCGCCGGTTGACGAATTCAACCGCCCCTTGTACGGTGGTGATGTTTTTGGCCTCACAGCGCAAAATGGTGCTACTGGCCAAACCCAGGCTGCGCAGCCCCAGTTATCTAACGGAGACTCTGTTGAACGAGCACTATGGGGAGAGTTACAACCTCGTGAAGAAGAGTCTGAAGAGGAGGACGAGGAAGAGGACGAGGAAGAATCCGAGGACGAGGATGTCCCTGGCGGCACCGAAACTTCTACCGGACTCGAAACACCAGGAGGCTATGCCAGCACGGTACATCCCGATTATTCACAACAGGGTGTCGAAACGTCGATTGCCGGCGAGATGGATCTACGCAAAGAGCGACGTGGATTCGACACCGAGGAGTCCTCTGCCCCTCGCTCTGCCTACACAGTTGTACCTGAGCGGCAGGTCCGTGCCGAGGGCTTCTTTGGCAGCGACCGCGCCTACGATATCAATGCCGCTCAGCGCGCTGCGACGGCTGGTATGCCCGTGCTGGGCGCAGATGACGATTCCCGGAAGCGGAAGAAGCCTGGCGATATAGACGTGGCCATCGACGTCGACTCGTTGAATCAGCAAGGCGGTCTTAGCAAAGATGAGCTGCGGAACAGATATGACGCCAGTCAAAAGGAGGAAGGCATCGGTGCGAGATGGGCTTATGACGAGGACTTGAGCCAGATGATTGCTGAAGAGAGTAGGAAGCGACAGCGTACTGAGAAGGAGCTCAATGAGAAGAAGCGAGAGGGCAAATATAAATTTTAATACGGACCGGGAAATACGCTCTCTGTCTCTCTCATCTCGGCTATGGGAAACATATACTACATATATGGCCGAGTTTAGTTGGAAAATGGGAACCAGGATGAACGGCGGTAGAGCGAATGACACTTCTTGTTGTGCTCTAATTAAATCAAATAGTAGGAGAAAGAAACGGAACATGGAATGTGGAAACACTGGAGTTTTTTTGTTTTTGATCTTCAGGAATTTCATGTATAGTAAAATCTAAAGGCTTCATTGATACCATTAAACATTTTCGCTCTTCTCTCGTGTCGCGCCTGGCCAACTTTAGCCACCATCAGATTTGGATAGTGGAGCATCTTCTGATGTACTACTTGGGCCTCCCAGCTCATCAATTCCAGAAAACACCTCTACTCTTTCTACCAAGTCTGTCTCTCGAGTTGGTAAGTGGTAGTCTGCCCAAATCAAGTGATTCAGAAGCCTTTTAGCAGAGGACACCCAAAAAAAATAAAAAAAGTGTCCAGGTAGGCGATAAACGTAATCGTTATATATCTTTAGTGAACCATCATTATTTCTTATTCGTAGTGCTGCTGCAGTCTCTGTCAGGGCCCTTGGAGTCATTTGAAGGACCTGAAGTCGAGATATCCGATCCTTCTTGCGTGTCATCTTCAGCTTTCTTGTCCTCTTGCGTGTCATCTTCGGCTTTCTTTTCCTAAGTCGATTTGCTCGCGAAGCACGCATTGCAGAGCCAGCCTTGCTTTTTATCAACAGGTACAACAGCTTCTTCCCTTATACAGTCTGAGTGGTATAATCTGTGAGGGCAGAGCTATCGTTTTTTCTAATAAGTATGCGTTCGAGGACAGACAAATGTTGGCAGAAAATGAAGAAAAACAACTTACCTTGTTTGCGCAGACCAGCATTCTGGGCCCTAGTACGGGCAGCTGGCAGACAGTACAGCCATTAGTACCCTTGCGGATTTGAGTAGCTCTTGGAGACTGCTTTGGGCTTGCTTCTTCCTCAACCTGGGTGCCAATACTTTCATTATTGTCATTTCGTTGTAACCTCGCTCTCGCTTCGTTGATGACGGAAAATGCTTCACGTATGACTTTGTCTTCAAGCATATCGCGAACTCGAAGCAAGCTGAGATGTTTGCCAAACTCCAATAAACGCTGTTCAGCAGCAACAAGCCAGGATGCCTTCTCTCGAACGAAACCCAGCCAAGCTCGGGGAAAATAGGCGGCAGATGTGAGGCTCTGGCGAAGGATGTAGCCGTCCCATTCCCAGATATACTCCTTTTCTGCAGGAGTAACATCTGAAAAATCGCTTGTGCTTTCGCGGTGCTTTTGAATCAGCCATGTGTTGTCTAGTATCCTCTTTGGAACCTCCTGGCCAGGAATCAATCGCGCTCTGCTGATGGGATCAAAAAGAGCCTGTTTGATATCGGGCACCAGGATCTTTTCGTTTTCGTGACCCCCTAAGCGCCGTTGCCCAAATCTCGGTTGTGTAGCTATTGGCGACTGGGAAGGGAGCCTGTCAAAGGGATTCTTGTCCTTTGAAAAGGTGAATACATCGTCAATAGTATCCGATCCAAGCCGTGATGAGACCCATGACTGGTCACCAACTAGAAATGTCTCGAGGTGGAAAGGTTTAACGGGAGGTTTTATCTCATACTCCTTGAGGGGAGAAGCCATAGCCTCGCATCGACTAGAGACTCGGAACTGCGGCCCCTGACTCGTAGTTTCGAGCACATAGTTATACGCGGGGTGGAAAGTCTGTAGGTGTGCCTGTAGCTGCTGCATAGTTTGGTGATAGGCTCCGCAAGTCACGCAGCGGTAATAGTCTAGGCAGACGGGTTGGTCTGAAGGTAGGAGATAGCTAACGCGACCTTCACCCGCCGTGAGATGATTAGCCCGCGCGCGACGTTTTTTCTCTCTGCCCTGAGCTTGGTCACTCAGAACCTTCAGGTTATACACCTTGTTTTTTTCACGAGTTCTCAAGGACCTCGAGGGAGTTTGTGCCCCTTCCGGGCCGTCTAGGCCCTCTTCGTCAATTTCAATGGAAAACTCATCTGCGTGGTGACCATTGATGCCATTGATGCCATTGACCCTTCTGTTCATAGATGGAGCGAACAAGTCGTCCATCAAATCTCTGTCAGGATCAATGGCGTTGATGCAGGGCATTGATCCCTTCTCCAAGACCTTTAATGCTTTGTAGCCGGCCGCCCAGCGTAGGTCAACGTCCATGACATAATCGGTACAGAAGGGAGGTTCATCCTCTGAATATCCCGCAGTTAAGGACACAGGGCCCTTGAGCCGGCCAAAAATCTTGTCAAAGCGGCTCGACAAGACCCATGATTTGCTGGAGGCAGGAGAGAGATCAGGAGACACTGGCGGAATGCCGAAATCGGTCGAGTCCAGCGGTGGCCATTTTTCGCCGTGGGCAGCCTCTAATTCGACTACAATGTCGTAAGAATCTGCCAAGTCGAATTTGTCATCATCCACCCGGTTGACCAGGATACTCTCTTGGGGGACGTAGAAGGGCTTGGGCAAGTCAATGCGAGAGACGCGGTGAGGGCCCGCAGGGTTTTTATATGTTGTCAAGTTGCAAATCTGGCTCTGGCAGTGAACGACTCGGGGGCGGAAGCCAGGAGTCAGTTCAGAGATGGTGATCCTGCAGCTAGCTTTGGTGTGCGTAACCTCGTGGGGGTGAGCTTGGCCATGATAGGATCTGACCTTTTTTGAATCCTTGTGAGAGACTTTGAGAACCTCAACTCGGAGGGCAGACTTTGATTCTGAAGACTGCGGAGAGGCAATGAGATGTTCCACAGGAAACGAGTCGGGCGTTGAAACTCGTCGCCGTTTCAGCGGCGGGCCCCTTTCATGGTCGATTTGATGAGATCCTTTATGAATTGGTGAAGATACTATGTTGCCCATAGCTGCAGAGTCCTTCAAGGCTCTGGTGCCTTTGATCCAGTTGCGATGAAGAAAGGGGGCTCGACGCTGGCACCTGGTTTTCACCGTCATGGCGGGATGAAACCGATCATGAGAAAAAAAGTGGTCTATGAGACGGCGGGTGAGCCCAGAGTATGCTGAGACGGGGCAAGCAAAACAAACAGTGCTGGCGACGACGGTGAATGAAGCTCTCCCTTGGCCTTAAAGCATTATGAGTGTAAGCCCGCACGCTTCGTTGCCGCTGCGGCAACCCAGTGAAACGCCAGGTGGGTGTCAGAGGTGAATGATTGACCCTGGTGAATGATGAGAATGCGCCGGCAGGGTGTCGCCAGGTATCAATCGTCCCCTGGTGAAGATGCAGTCGGCGGCTGGAGACCACAGACAATGGATTGAGGCGGTGCGAGAGTTTGCGAGAGTTTGCGACGGGAATGAAGAAACTGGGAATGCGGCCAGCAGGCTGTAGCGGCTTTGGCAGCGCGACAGAACGAACAAAGCAAGCAGACGCGTGTAGATGAGACCTGCCCGGCTGTATCGCGGCCCCGGAAAAGCCTAGCGCCAGCGGACCTCGCTGTAAGCGACGCTGTAGCCACCAGCCCGTAGCAGTGGCCCAGCACCTGGTAGCGGGTACCAAGCAGTCGGTGGCTAGCGCTATGCGGAGCCAAGTACCTGCACTTACACAGGTCACGCTTACAAGCATGAGGGCACCATATGCACATAGCCGTCGGCGTGTCCGGTGCACGGCTACAGCGAGGCCTAATAACATCAAGCAAATACCTTCTCAACTGCTGAGGCACTACAACGGAAGAGGAGATGATGGAAAGCGACAGACACTTTTGGCTTCCAATTTTAGCTATCCGTCGATGGCACTAGGAAGAAGTGGAGATACCAGCAGAAGATCTCTCCTGTCAGCAGCGCCGACCAACAAAGTTTCCAAACAGAGGAAACAACCACAGGCTGCGGAGTCTGTCATGCAAGCGAGTCGCATGGCGCTAACACAAGTTCCGACATTCCGTAATACGCCTTATAAGGTAGTACCCGGACCCAATGAGCATGTGTGCGTGACAGGAGCAGAAGACTGCCTATTCTAGATACAACAAACAAACAGCCTAGAACGTATTAGATTGATGCTTAGGTAGGTAGATATGAAATAGCAGCGCAGCAAGGCTCCCTTGTGGATGACAGTGCTGGCGTAGCACCAGTACCTACCTAGGTAGTGGTGAAAGACCGCAAATCTCAATGTTACGTTAGTGCCAACTCAGCTACTATTGTGTCAAGAGTAAATGCCCATGTGTTCCGTAGCGTTGGGATTTGCAAGTCTTCACGCGTACCCAACTTGGCTTAGTCCCATCGAAGCCGCATCTAAGCTTCTATTCCTCCTTGGGTACAAAGCACATGTACTGCGTAGCTGCAAGCACGTCACAGTTGACGTTGGTGGATAATTGCAAGGGTCTCTCGTTAGGATCACGCTGCGAGAAGCAACTTACCCACTCGGCGTGAATATGGCCTTGTGTGCGCAGGTTTTATGTGCATACTGGCGCCATCATCTAAGGCTTCATCAAGAATTCCAAGTTATCGCAGATGTCTTGGTAAAGTACATATGAGCTGAATTGCTGCGCGTAAGAAACCTGTGCAGTACGCATCACATGACAGAGGACGTTGCGCTGTTGAGCTGCCGAGCTGGGCCCCGCTACGCCTGCCTGTAAACTTTAAGCATCTCAACGCTGCGGTAGTCGAAGCAGCGCTACCTCATCCTTACTCATTCTTACTTCACAGACTTTCAGCTCCAATCAGCCCCAAATCAATATTTCTCCAACCACCAGAAGTGCTACTACAAGTTCACGGGGCGTCGCACAATAAATCGCCCCGGGCCACAGAAGCGCCGTGTCTTCTACATGCATACCATTTCTTCGCTACAGCCTCTATAGCTAGCGCCGTGAACGACGTGGTGCAATGCCGCTGACACGCAGCGCCGGGCAGCGAGCCTTGGCTCAAAATAGCAGTCGACGGAATCCAGCTCGCCAGTCACGGCCCAATCCATCTCGCACCTCCAGAAGGGAGCGCGAGGCTTCTTCCAATTCCTCAGAGTCAGATTCGAGTGTGTCAGAGTCTCCCTTGGGATCTCACCATGTTTCCGCATCGTCTACCCGGCACTCATCTCGACGAAGGAGCACAAGAATCGCAGCCGGGCATGGTAGTAAAGGAAGCCCAAAGACAACGCGGCATTCAATTTCAAAGACTACCCCTAGAGGCAAAGCCAATGACAGAAGTCGCCCCGTCGCCACCACGAAGTCTCCAAGTAAACGGCGACAAACTGCTTCAGAGAACCTCAATCAGATATCCCCAACCCACGGTCCAAGTTGGACAGATCCGCGAATTCCCTACCAATTTTGGGTAGATGTTTTCTTGTATGCTCGCGATGAAAGCGGTGCAGATGCAGCGAATACGCACTGGCTACTCCAAGCTGCCACTTTATGCAAACTATTATCAGAACCGGCATTAACAGCCATTTACCGCTATCCCGTGATACGGCATGCTTCCAAGGCGAAACGACTGGTTTCATTGCTGGAACGCTCCCCCGCGGACACCCTCTTCAACTACCGCCGGAAAATAGAGTATCTTCACCTAAACGTTCGGGTTGTATCTCAAGCAGTAGCTTCTCAGCTCATTCGACCCTTGACTCGTCTTAAGGAATTGATATTTTTTAACCCTGCGGAACAGCCGCCCTATAGAGAGCTTGATACGCATGTCAGGTGGAACTATTCAGAGGATATATTCCTTGCCCTCCAGTCACCACCGGCTGACGATTTCGAGGCTCTTTCACTGCTCCCCATTGCCTTGAGGAGCTGGGAGTGGAGTGGAAGCTTGCTTGGTGGCTATGTTGCAGACTTCAAAGATATTATCCGAATCCACCAAATGCCATCATTTGCTCACCTTACGCGACTGAGCTTTACGAATTTCCAAGTCCCTTCGCTCAGGCTTGCCGGGCCGGCGCTTGATGACCCTCAAGCCAACGTGCAGACCTCTGCTGAGGACGACGAGGTCATTGATGCTATTGGAGATGCTATAGCACATCTTCAATCCCTTAAACATCTGGTCTTTGAATCATCTACCATCATGACAAGTCGTCTGCTCTCCCGTTTACCTACGTACCTTACTCATCTAGAGCTCATCAATTGTTGGGAGATTGATGCTGAGAATCTAGCCATGTTCCTCATCACTCATGGCAGCAGCCTCCGCACGCTTTCTCTGATGCACAACCAGTCTTTGGATCTTACCTTCTTAACAATTTTGGCCGAGGCTTGCCCCAGCCTACAAGAGCTGCGCATGAACATGTCTTACTATAGGCACCATGATTCACTCAATGATGCGGATCCCATGTATGACTTCGCCCTTCTCCCCGATCAGATCCCAACTTGGCCCCCTAGTATCCGCGTCATCGATATCGAACATATCCGAAGCTGGTCCATAGAAAGTGTGTATACGTTCATTCACTCGCTTGTTGATAATGCCACGAGTTTGCCAAATTTGCGTGAGCTGATGATCAAGACTGCGCTTGATATCCCATGGCAAACTCGTGCTGAGCTGCGACACAAGCTAAGAGACATGCTTGAACGAGTATTTCTCCGAGAGGATGAGGATCCACACGATGCGGCGGCTCCTAAACAGACGAGTGACACTCATGATCTTGCTAGACCACGCAAGAGAAAACGATCCAGGTCACCGAGGTCTCCTGTACGAAGGAGTAATAGAATCGAGGCGCATGTGCGTGGCTCGCTCCGTCGTCCCAGAAGAGACAACACATCGCAACGGCACGGGCTTGGAAGGCCGCTCTACCGAGAACCGGATACTGATGAAGACGAGTTTGATGACACAGAGTTATCCGATGCCGAAACTCAGCAAAGCTCATCTTCCAATCCTCAACCAGAATTGGCAGTTCAGGGGCTTTGCCACACTGTCAACATCATAATCGATAATCAGAAAACGAGAGAGTTTCCGTACAGTATGGATGACTTCCTCTCTGATGGCGAAGGGTCTTCAGGCGTGGAGTGGGACGGGGATGATGACGACGATCACGACTTTTCTATTGCGTTCTGAGGAGATTCCCTCACTCCTATCGTAATAGATATGGATACTTTTGAAAATGAAATAAATACGACGGCAATCTCAATATGCGGATGCGACATCTTATCGGAATGGAAAGGAAAAATAGATACTAAAGGGGGGGTAACACAACATAGGGTATATTACTGCGTTTGGCGTTGGGGAAGAATTAGGATCTCATCGTACCTATGATATAATACAATAAATCGTGGCATTAATAATCAACGGAAGTCACGGTGGCTTATTAGAATAGAAGCGGGTTGAGGTTTTCTGTCTGTTCTTTCACCTCTGTAAAAATGAACTTGATACATAACTTGATCCAGACCTCTTCGTCACTTTTTGTATTGAATGCGTGGCAAATAAGTCTTCATCAAGAGATGATTCTGCCATTAATCATTCCTCTTTCGATACTACGTTATATACAAATAGGTAGGTAGTAGTTACTGGCTGAGATGAACGTATGCTAGCAGAGTTTAGACGCATAACTCTAGTACGACGAAAACTTCATTAAGGAAAACCCATCCATGCAAAAATCCAGTGAGGAGAAATATGTCTAAAAGGCTGCACCGCCAACGCCTTCACCAGCCAAGTTCTTCATGCTCTTCTCGCTCAGGTCACTTCTCATCTCCCACGCCCTGGCATCCCGGTCAAGTCTGGACCACGAATAGAGACTCTTTCGGAGCCGTTCTTGCTTGAGCCGTAGTTCCTCGCGTATTTTTTCCTCTTCGTCTTTTAGCTTTCTGTAGTGTGGTTCAATCTCCTTCGTGACCCCAAGTACTAGGGGTGTCATGCTCGGATCTGTTTTTCCGCCGGGAATTAGAGGGGGCATCGTCGCCAACAGGCTTTGAGCAAGGGTCTGTCTTGGCCCGTTGCCATGTTGAGCTGAGGGCCCCGTGGGTGGGTTAAATGGTCGTTGAGCAGAAGACATTCCTGCGCCGGATCCATTTGAGATGGATGCTCGAGGGCCGGTGGGGATATTAGAAGGGCCACCTGTCGCAGCTGATGCTGGTGGTGGGCCAGATAGATGGCGAGATGGCGCTGAATTCCATCCTCCTCTCCCGCCACGGGATGAAAAAGAAGATCCTCTGTTTAATGGGACGTAGCCTCGAGGCCCTGAAGGCGGGTTTGTTGGACTTGTAGTGTCTGTTCTGTGTGGCATCGCGTTTGGCGTCTGAGGAATTCGTTGCGTCTGTGGAATAGGCATTGTTGCGGAGGTGGAAAGTGTACGAGCAGCAGCGGGCCCGATGGGTGGTGCTCGTAATGCTGCAGGGCCACGTGGCGGTGATTTTGAAGGGCCAGAGGCAGTTTCGTTTGCAATGGGCCGTTGGATGTCTTTGACAGCTGCAACTGGTGTCGTAGAACGGTGGGGAGGGGAGCCTTCCAAGGTAATGGGCGAACGAGTTTTGGCCGACTGTGATTGAGAATCCGCTCGTTCGGAAGCAGGTCGAGACGGTAGCGCAGACATAGGCCCGGGTTCTCGCATCGGCGAATGTCGCTTATATGAAAGAAATCTGTCATCCCGTCGATTGGGTGACCTAGAACGAGGCCTGTAAACACCACCACGGACAGCAATAGGCGTTGTTTTCCCTGGCGGAGTCCTCTCGCGACGGCGATCTCGAGCGAGAGCGAATGGAGAGCGTGATCTCCTGTGACTCCGAGTTAGCGAATGTACCCAAGTATTTGAAGGGACTATAGAATAACAAACCTATCATCGCGCCTCTCGGGGTCTCGCTCCCATTCTCTAGGTCGATTTCTCTCACGGTCCCAATCTCTTTCACGGTCTATATCCCTAGGCCTATCGCGCTCCCATTCACGTCGCGGTGATCTCGGTCGGTCATATCTGTTCTCTCGTGCCGGTGACTCTCTTCTAAGTGGGCTCCGGCGAGGCAGGGGTGATCTTCTCATGGGGGATCGGCTTCTCTCGCGCCTTCGGGGGCTTTCGCGGTCTCGGGATCGATCGCGGCGGTACCGATCGTTTATACTCCGAGAGCGCCTTCGCGGCGGATACCTCCCAGGCACATAGCTATCGGATCCTGGGATTATAGGGCTTCGAGGGCGAGGGCTTCTAGTACGCGGCGGGCTTCTTGCTCTGTCTCTCACGGGGCTCCTCGGTCTTCTAGGCGATCGCTCCCGCGGGGTTGGCCTCCAAGACTCTCCAGCGCCATATCGAACGACTTCACCGTCGTCATACCTATGAAGATTAGCCATGCGCTCGATAAGGCTCTTCGCCGAGATCTGGAGACTGAGATGCGAATATGAGCGTGGCGGATTTCTTCATTTTCGCAAATGCGCCACGCTCAATTTATCCGGTCCCGGAACTGCGAGCCAAAATGCGATTCATGAAAGAACAATGGAATTAATGGGTGCCGATTCTTACCTGCGGCTCCGGCCATCGCGATCGCGGTCCATATTACAGGATCAATGGCAGCAAAAATAACAATGCTAAATCAAAACTTGGGCTTGTCTGTATGAGACGTTGTCATCCGATAGGGAGATGCACATCGGAGGATAAAAAGTCCGCTTTTCTCTCTAAGAAAAGTTTAAGGCATACCCACCCAGACGTAGTCGCGCCTAGGCTCGATGTATCGCAACTTACCTAGCAGATTGCTCCACATATGCAGCGCAATATAGACAATCAAAGTCTCATGATTATTGACATGAGCAGATGCATACCACGTTAGCGGGTCAGCAATAAAGTGGGCGTTAAGGCGTGTAATTTAGAAACAATCTTCGCGTCTGCTGCATAATCTCTAATGTTTCGTGGAGCTGGTGTCAAAGATGGGCTTCTACAATATGTATTTGAGAAATTCCGAGATTTTGTATTGGCTATATTAATAGGTAGGTGGTTGTCGATTAAGCCGGCGAGATTTAAATTCCAAGTATACAGTATAGATCTGAAACACACACACAAAAAGTAACACATCTGTAAAACAAGAGTCTGTGTCGAGGATTATTATGCTGGTTATTATTTGATGTCATCGAACAAATTTGATCCAAAACCGCCTTTGTCACTCTCGAGGTGTACTAGCTTGGGAATCGTGGGCGGCGGTTTATTATCAGAAGTCGGCTTCGGTGTCGTCGTAGTTGTCGATATATGCGGCTGCTGCTCAAGGCTTAAGAGACTCGAGCGCCTCCTCGACTGGTTTTCTCCCGTTCTTAGACGCTTGAACCAGCCGCTCGCTCGCTTCTTCTCCGAGTCTGCGACGCTGGAGCCGCTCTGGCTTTGTGGGCGATACACATTGACAAGATTGCGCCCGTTGTTATCTTGAAATGCGCTTCCTGTTGGATGGTTATTAAACGCAGCAAAAAAAAAAAAATCATCATTGGCAGCGAACTGTACCCTGTTGACTCGAGACGGCAGGACTCGGCGGCGCGTCTTCGGGAATCGTCGTGGCAGCTTTATCTTGGGCCGCTACGGCTGCTGAAGTCGCTTGTTTGCCGCTGATGTTCTCATCACTGGTTTTGGGCGTTCTCGCTGGCGTAATCGTCGGCTCGATCGGAGACTCCGGCGGTGGAGGAATATCGGTGCCGTCGGTGATGCTGCCAAAATTCAGGTTGAGGGCAGGCAGCAGCTCAAAGCGCGAGCTGGCCACGCTCTTGTTCTGCTGCGAAGACATGGTGTGTCGACTGCTCAGCTCGCCAATTATGATGTTAAAACGAGACCCGAGACCAGCCGGTCAATTGACGATGCTCTGTGCAGATCATCGCTGGAGAGGAACACAGGCACCCTGGCAGTCACGGTCCCCATGGAGTTATACCCCCCTATAATCTAGAGGACTGATGCTAAGCAGTACCTCGTACTCCGTTGTGTACCAAGGCCACTATTAGGCGTTAGTTAAACCTGCATGCGAGCTTTTAAATTAGCCCATGGCTTGAGAAAGCATGTGCCAATTTTAGATGCATGCACATAATGGTATAAAAGAATTAATAATAATAGCATCTATTATCATAATACTCATTTTATTTGTGTCTTATTTTATAAAATAAATAAAATAGTATGTTTTGTTTGATGATAAATCCGTATGTAAGAAAACAAAGCTCGTAATGTTACGCATTTCGTATTACAAGTACTAAGCAGTAGTAAAAGCTATGTACTGGTACTTCTGGATGAGCACAGACTCTACTACTGTAGCTCACCTACTACTCGGCAGCACTTGTTTTATCGATTAAGCTTATCAGAACTTTTCCTAATCTATCGCGCCTCAACTGCGTCTCTCACATCATGTACATGGCATTCTACGCTCAGTCATGGCACAATTCCTCCCCCGTCGCTCATTTAGTATTCCGTCATCAATTCCAAAATCTTACTTCCTAGGCCACCATCACGCCGCTGTCAGTAAACTAAAGACGGTCCTCCCAAGAGTGTCGCTGGTTATTGAATGCCGCGACTTTCGACTGCCGCTGTCAACTCACAACCCTGTTCTGGAGAAAGCAGTCATTGGCTGTCCAAAGATCATCGTATATACGAAACATGACCTAGGTAGCGATAGCCCCGGCGTCCGGCAGCTGCTGCAGAGGCTGCATGGCCGTCGCGCCTTGTTTTGGGATAAGAATCACCCTGGAGCAACGGCATCTCTCCTAAGGCGGCTGAAGGAGACTGCTTACGAGGTAGACTCCATAACCGGGCTGTGTGCGCTCATAGTGGGCATGCCCAATGTGGGTAAGAGTACGTTGTTAAACGCCCTGAGAAAGTCTGGGACGCTGGGGAGGAAAACAAAAGTAGCAAAGACTGGCGACCAGGCCGGCGTAACCCGTAAAATTGGCACAAGCGTCCGTGTGGTCGAGCCAGAGGAGCGAGGGGGCGTCGGCGCTGGCGTATATGTGCTCGACTCGCCAGGAGTTTTTATGCCATATGTTGAAGATGGGGAGGCTATGATGAAGATTTCCCTCGTACAGGGTATCAAGAAAGGACTCATAGCAGACGAGATATTGGCGGACTATCTTCTCTATAAGATGAATCTTTGGGATCCCCGACTCTACGGTCGATACTGCGAGCCGACAAACGATGTACAAGAGTTCCTCTCCGCCGTGGCAAAGCGCGACGGCAAACTGAAAGCTGGCGGTGTCCCTGACATGGAGGAATCCGCAGCCAGGGTGCTGTCTGAGTGGCGGAAAGGTAAACTGGGCAAATATGTCTTGGATGACCTTTCAGATGAGGCCCTTCGAAATCATGAATTGATGGTTAGCAGTCCTCCATTAAGTCTGAGCCAAGGGAAGAAGGCATGGAAAGAACAAAAGAAAGAAAAAAGCGCCTAAAAAGGAGCGCGGAATAGGAATCAAGTGTTGTTCATCAAAACAATATACCACTTTTGATTGGCAAAAGCTGTAAGATATAGACTATCATGATAGTATTTGGTAGACCAATCTCATCGACACGCGTAAATAGCTGGCGACGAAGACTTTGCGTCTAAGCCTAAGCGACAGGGAAAATCACAAGGGAATCAAGAAAGAAGGGAAGAAAAAGGAAAGAAAAGGAAAGGAAATGGAAAAGGAAAAGGAACCGGGTCCAACCAAAGTTAAAAGCAGCGCTTTCCACTCATGTTCCGCCGTGCAGTAATAAAAAAAATAAACAGATGACAGCCATTATATCCCAACGCCTTTTCCCGAAAGAAATTTCCATTCAAACAGCCCAAGCATTCCTTCATGGACATAGCACGCAAACTCTCCGCCTGATACGTGTATAGAGAGCTATATTCCCTATCATGCATATTGATTCTGCCACTTAACCATATCCCGCGTAAGAACGTCCATCATCTCCATGCAGCTCAATTCCTTGAAGACCTTGGACTCAGGAGAGTCGCGCTGTTCCTTGGCATCCTTTTCCATTGGCGACTTGGTAGGATCAAGCGGCGATTGAGTTGAATTGTTACTTCGGTCCAATGCTGCCTCGGCCGCCAAGTCAACCTGTGTTCTTGATATAAAGTCCATGATGGCGGCCACCCGTCGTTTCATATCCAGCATGCTCATCTTCCCCGCCATGCCTATTTTTGTCCTTGAACTGTTCTTGTGGTCTCCAACATGTCTAGAATGCGCAGCAGTTGTCGCATTATTGGCTCGCTGGGTGTCTCGTGATACGGATCGTGCGGGTGACCGTTCAATATCCGTAGTGCGGTCTTTCGTATATTGGTTTTTTCCTTTGCCCTTTTTGTGATTGCTCCGTGACGTTCGTTTATTCGAATTTGCGGCAGATGAATGCGATGCGGGAGGCGTCCCTGGAACAGGGGATGGTACAGCAGGCGTAGGGTCTTCGAAACCTGACGTTTCCGCACCGCTATTATTGGGAGCCTTGGAAGACAGGGGATTCACGTCCTCTGACACGTCGGAATCTGTGGTTTTCGTTAGTGCCTATGCCGTTTCGCAGACAACAAAGCGCAACTTACCTTCAGTGCGTCGCCTGTCTGCCCGCCCTTTACGTTTACTTATAGTTTCTTGCCGTAGGCGATCTTTTTCTTCTCTTTCTGATCGCTCCGTAACTTTGTAGGTTCGGGGTCGTTTTAATCCATTGCGCCCGCCGTTCTCGTCATCCGTGTTTTCTTGACTAATAGTGTCCATTGGTCTTGGTGGCGGTGTGGTGGATTGCGAATTTGTGCGCTGCCGTTTAACAATCACATTATTCCTGCTGGCGGGGTTAGCAATTTCAAGAAAACAAAACTTTTCGAGGCTATAATCCCAGGACATACTCTTCACTGTTGCTGCGCCCCCGTTTTGTGCGCCTATTCGTAGTTTCTGTTCCATCTTGGGCAACTTCTTCCTTGCTCGCTTCAATTGCTCGGCGTAACTGTTCATCGTCATAAGCGGCATCGCGGCTATTCATCGTAGACCGTCGTTTGGATATGTGTGACGTCGATTGGGATCGAGCAGATTTGGAACTGCCCAACCTCGGTGATCGCGCTCCATCCTTGGCGACGGAAGTAGCTCGAGATGCAGTTCTAGCTGGTCGACTCAAAGGTAGGTATTTGGAGTATTTTTGTCTGTTGTCTAGTTAGATTTCATTCTCTGCAAAATAGGTTTGAGGATAGGGTCAGCCTACCCATTATTTGCTGTGTGGATTTTGTGAAGATCTTTCCGACATTGCTCACAAAAGTATTCTTCGGGAGAACTCTCGGCACTAAAGATGCCGACACAAGCTCCATGCTGCCATACTTTGCAAATATCGCACTGCACAAAAAATCCAGTAACGTCTTCTGTGAGTTCGATCGATGCGAGGAAGTTGGCGTCGGAGCCGTCGACGGGAGGGCGGCCGGGGTAGTCCTCGCAGCCACATATGCACCGAACTGCCTCGTCCTCTTCGTCTTGAAGAGGATCTAGTTCGTTGGACATGTCTTGGACCTCGTTCTGCAAATTCTTGTAGTGTTCGTCGTCGTGGCCACGCTTCCGCCTTCGGCCAAGGAGAGTATCGTCTATATCTTCTAGCGGATCGGACGATACGGATGCACTGGGTGTGGATTTGTTCGATTGGGGCCGGTTGAGGGATCTGGTATGTCGTTCAAGGCGGCTGAAATTGGTGGCTGAGAGGGACTGTTGAGAATGAGAAGCCAACGCGCGAGCTCTGGAAGATCGTCGTGGAGAGGGTGGTGCCATTGAATACTGTAAGCACCAAACGAAAGAAGAAGGATGCGCAATAAAAACAAGAGGCAGAAAAGAGTGCGGTCAAATGTCTAACATCTAGTCAAGCCTGAATTGTATTCTGGTAGAAGGAGTCTGAAAGGTTGGTAGGTAAGGTAGAGTAGAATCGTACTTTTGGAGAGGCAGAGGACTAGTAGTACTACTACTAGTAGTACTAGAAAGAGTTGCTCGGTACATGCTAACTAAGCGCCGAATAGCGAAGTACGGATGCGGCTAGCTTGGATGGCCACGAGTAAATCTTCCATGTGGGCAATGGCGCCAGGGACGTGGAAATGGTGGCCCTGGCAGTGCATGATGTGCAATGCATTGAAAATATCCGCGATAGATTGCTATCCGGTGGGTAGATCGACAGTCGATAACTCTCTGGAATTTGTTGGATTCAGCTTTGCATCATTGACGTGCACCATCTGTAGCTCAAGGTCAGCTTTTTTCGAGCAGGAATTCTGACCCTTGTCAGCAGCCTAAGATGACTGCCCGGGTTAGCATCTAAGCTCCATGGCGAGAAACTTTAAAGGGTGGAGGAATAAATGGGCAGAGTCAGCTGTCAACCACGCTGTCAAAGCAGTCAGCCCAAAGCCACATTGAAGGATAATCAGGTACTGCTTGTTCTTCAGCTGCGATTTGCAGACGATGCACCTTGGTTAGGCCGCTGTCCAATAAATCGACAATTAACCACTGCAGTAGTAGCGGATTACTGCCTCCGCCGGTACCCATAAATAGAGGCACTTCCTTGATTCCGGGCGGTTTGGAAGAGTTCCAGACCTAAAACAGCCTAGCAGTATGCAGTACTGCCGACTCCACCTCACCACGTCGTAGGTCTATGATGTATTCGGTACGTTTTTGCAATCCTCGTATCAGCAGCTTACCCAGTGCATTTTATTAATTTCAATTGTTTCCGCTTCCTTCGGCAACGATCCATTCTCTCGTTTCTTCTGGCCCTGTTCGCCTTTACTTACATGGTTTGAAGACCACACTCAGGTCTATGCCGTGAGGGCGCGACTCAATAATTCACCATGTTCAAGCGCTCGCGACGACGCGATCATTCGCTTCAGGTAGGCCAGCCCTTGTCGCAAGAGGCGCTCTGCTTTGCTCCTTTGCCAGACCGCGGGCGCGTTCGATGTCCTCAATGGGAGACATATTTTTCATCTGCCCTCAGCCATCAGCCATCAATCATCGGCTCATTTGCGAACACTTTGCTAATTAGCTATAGCCACCTCTTACAAAAGAGACAGCCGCTCCCGATGCTGCCATGGCCGCGGCATCCGCGTACATGCGTGGGAACAACAGCCCAGCCCCATCGTTATCATCAGCAGCCGCAGCCGCAGCCTTGCGAGCGCAGCCAGCGCCACTCACAAATGTTGCGGAGGCGCCGTCTAAAAGGGTCCAGCGACGGGCTTCCTCGCTGTCGTCCCCCATTGGCGGCCGCGATCGAGGAAAGAATTCCAGGCTGCCCAGAACGCCTAGCGTGAGCTCAATGACCGAGCGGACCTTTCGATCGCCATCGCCGGCTCGTACGGCTCCTAATAAGAAGCAAGATGTACCGCCTGTCCCTAGCATGCCCGCCTCTAAAAATATCACAACCCCATTGAAAACACAAAATTTCCGAACTGCAAGCCAGAAATCCAAAGGCCATCCGCAAGGCGCTTGGTTTGGAGCCGCCGTAATTCAAAATGAGCAAATACCAGAATCGATACCGAAATCGTCTCCTGATTTACCAGAATCCCGATCAGGGAGTGTTAGTTCCTCGATCAATTTTTCATATCCCCGCCGCACGCCATCATACGATTCAAATCTGCCAGCTGAACACGAGCTTGTTTATGATCCGAATTCAAGAAGAATGGTTCCAAAGACCACGGCTATAACAGCAAGCCGTCAAGCTGAGGATGTTGTTTTAAAATCATCCGACAAAGCTAAGGGAACAAAGCCAGTAAGAAGGGGTCCTACAACACAAGAACTGGCGGATGAAATGAGTATACCGCCGCCCAACAATATCCGAACGGAGTCTCCTTTGTTAGCATCTGACCAGTCAAATGATCCAGACTTCTTTGAGAGGAGCCATCCGAACGACATTTCCGGTTCTAGCCGACTGATAGCTGCAGTGGTGGAAAAGCCTTCACCAATGAGAGAAATTGAAAAGAAGGCTTCCAAAGATTTTCAATATCAAAAAGATTACCACAATGAGCTACCTGAGAATCTGGCGTCGGCAAAGACGTCGGCGAGTGTATCGCCCAGCTTATCCAAATATGACAACTTCAAGGTTGAAGCACCTTTTTCATATGCTGGATCTAGTTCAGAGACATCCGTACGTTCGGCACACTTTGCTTCATCGGCTGATCGTCTGGCTGTTGTTAAACACGAGCCTCCACCGCGCTCTCTATCGCCTAGAAAATCCGCCATGAAATCCTCTATTTCGAGTAGAGGAAGTTTGTCCCAGAATCCTAATGAGATTCTGGAGTATTCAGGGCTAGGCATTTCTCATCCCAGTGGAGAGGATGCCGTTGCAGGTCAAAAAAGAGGTGCCAGAGTAAGCTGGAACGATAATAGCACAGTCATGGCTATCGAACCGACCAAATTTGAGGAAGCAGATTCCACAGCAGCGTCCAACAGTCACTCAAGACAGAAAGCATATAACGCTGTCGATGGACAGAAAATGGCCACTGAATCTACACTGCAGGAGGATGAGCTGATGTCTCCCCGGCCGGCTCTTCCATTATTTGGAAGCGTGCGTGACAAAAAGGGGAAGGAGCCCGAGGAACGACAGCTTGTTCGCCCGCGGGAACGATCGTTATCGCCTCAGTCAATGCCGCCATCCACTTCTCACGCATCATCTTTTACAGCCAAAAATGAGACTATCCCATCGGTAGAGCCAGTTAAGGGACTCAGCTTCAATCGAGACCCGATGCCAAGAAATGTAGCAAACATTTCAAAGTACCGAGAGCCACTACCATCTATTATGGCGTCTACCGAAAGTCTTGGGCATGAAGGCGAAGATATGGACAGCTCGGATGACGAGCGGTTTGAAGACGTATTGACCGGCGCGGACGAGTCAACGTCTCAAAACCCTTCTGGAGATTTATTACCAGATCCATCCTCGACATCTAAGTTGTCAGACAATGAAGCTTCCAAGGCAAGCTCGAATTTCAACGAAACGCCCTTTTCGCCACCGGAGATGCAATATGACGGTGTTGTACTCATGGCTCGATCAAACTCTCTCCCAGGCAGTTTCCCGCCTGAGGACAATATTCCCAAGTTCAACTCGGGCAACGCGAATGGCTCTGCCGCGCCAATCTCAACTCAGGCTTCAGGATCCAAGACGGTCAAACTTACCCAATTGATTGATGAAAACAAGATCGAGGAAGAGTCGGATAAAGATAGCATCTACAGTGACGCCTACGAAGACCAGCCCCAGGCCGCAGAAGACGGATTCATGTCGATTGACGCTGCATTGGCCAACCCACCACTCTCTCAATCAGGCAATAGCAACTTCGATCTGAACACAAGTCACGAACAAAAGCTGTCGGATCAAGATGCCGATGCCGATGACTGGGAAAGAACCAAGGCATACTGGAAGAGCTTGACGTCTGACGAGAGACGCCGACTAGAAATAGAAGCTCTCCAGGAAGCAGATGATGATGCTCTCCACGGGGGGTTAGCAGCAAAAGGCTCCGCGGCCGCAACCGATGTCTCGGGCTATCCTCTCAAGGCGAAGCAAAAGAAACATATTCACCGGCCCCCAGTTGAACGCCCGCTACCAGCCGACTTGGCATCACCCAGAGCAGCTCAAGACCACAATGATCCTTTGAGGCAGGTAGATGCCCACACAGGACATCGTTCACTTCCACAGTCTGAAGCCACGAAAACCAGTAATACAGCGACAGGGCGCGGCTTGAAAAAGCTAGCAAAGCTCAAACGCTCCCTCAGCAGTGAGCCAAGACATGCAGACGATAGTCGAGGCTCCGTCGCCCGGCCCAGCTCCTTATATAGCCCCGTTATCTCAACAGGCTCTGGCCCGAAGCACGGATCAAGGAATCTTGCAAGTCCTATAGAACAACCAGCCACGAGCCCAGCAATGAATGCGGGTATGAAGCCTACTCTGAGACGACGAGGGTCCGATTCCAGCGAGAGCAGCTTCGTGCGCAGTAGATCAGCCAGTGATACGCGCCGTGGATTCAGGGCATCAATGAGAAGCAACATGTCTGAGTCAAAGCTATCAATGGGCAATACAAGAGCCGGAAAGAGGACGACTCTACGCTCATTATCACCCTCGGCATCGCATGCACAGCGCCATTCAGTCGTACCTACATCTTATTCTGAGACAGTGACTGTGCATCAAGGGAATCGTTTATTCCACCAAAACGCAGCCGCGCCACAAACCAACCGATCTATACCAAAACGGTATGAAGACTCAGCATACGAGGATCATTTGTCAGATTCTAGCGATGATGATCTAAACACCACCCCATTGACAAACCGCTCGCTGACGGGCGACGAATACGAGCCCGCTCAATCCAAATTGAAACATTCTTTTTCCCATTTGTACGCACGCAATAAAACGCCCGACCACAATCCCAACACCAATGCAGGCTTTGTGTCCAGTTCACAGAAACCCAACAAGCTAAAGCGGAGAGACGACCAATACCACAACGAGGGAGATACACACGTGCCTCAGAGGCCGATCTCTCAGCCAATTAGTGCTGCCGCAGCACAAGAAGCCTCGTCTCGCCGGCCAGGACTGATCTCATCGTTCATGCGTAAGAAGGATCACCGCGAGACGCATGAACTACAGCACAACACCGAAGACGCACACGGCAGCGGGTGGCCACTGCAGAACAGGAGAGCTGTGCCCAATGAACTCCCAATGACGTCAACAATTGAAGACGGGGGGAGAAGGTCCGCAGCTAGCGGCTCGATTGGCCTGACGTCAGATCCCCGCCAACAGCACGAGCTTCGCGGGAGCCCAGATCCAGGCCACGCAGAGCATAAGCGAAAGAAATTTAATAGCATACGCAAAATGTTTAAAATTAATGACTAGATAATTCTATATAGGTCTTGTAATTTACCAGAATACCCAACTAAAATAAATTCAAATTCGATGTCCACATTTTCACAGCCCATCTCTATCCAGTTAGGCAGCCGCCGCTAAAACGCGCGAGCACTATACTTGCAGCCACCCAAACGTGAAGCTTGAAGCTTGAGATAACAGGTAACATGTCATTTGCCAACAATTAGCGCAGCTACATATTAATTTAATTGCGGTGCGACTCTAATCCATTCTTTTTGCCTCTGCGCACCATATATATAATAATATCTCTCATAGTTTTCTGGGATCGTCGAAGCTTTTGTTTCTCCCAAGCAAAGTGCGCGCCAGCTCTCATTTCAGCTACCCCGCCTCCCACGTCCGACGCATTTTTGCGCCATGGCAGCTCCAACAGAGCAGCAGAGCAATCCCCAGGATGGCACAGGTTCGAGACAATGAATTGCCAAAGAGTACTGCTATTTGATCTAACTAAGAGACAAAAGGCGTCATCAAGCTGGACCCCTGGTTAGCCCCGTTTAGCGACGCGCTGAAGCGGCGATACTATAAGGCGCAGCACTGGATTAAAGTTATAAACGACAATGAAGGTGGCTTTGAGAAGTTTTCCAAGGTATGGAGGCTCATTAGTATCTCCAGGGCTTTTCCCCTTTCGTCTTCCTTATTCTCTATTTTCCTTTCCTCAGAGGAGAAAATAAAACTCAAAAGACATATGAATAACACCTGGCAACTTTATAGGGCACTGATATCTACGGCTTCAATGTGGACGACAAGAACAACATCATCTACCGCGAGTGGGCGCCCAACGCGGAGCAGGCGTATCTCATTGGTGATTTCAGTAAGCCTCTACTATATGCGTGCAGTCTCGGCGATGCAATTGACACCAATCGGTATAGATGGCTGGAATATGACGTCCCACCCCATGAAGAAGAATGAATATGGAGTCTTTGAGATCATTGTTCCCGCCAAGAACAACCAGAAGGCCATAACACACAATTCTAAGATCAAGGTAGCTTACCAAATACATATTTCCAGGCCAACTACCTTTACTAACCGTCTCTCCAAAACCAATTAGATCTCTCTTGTTCTCAATGGAGGCCATCGAATTGATCGCTTGCCAGCATGGATTAAATATGTCACCCAAGATCTTTCTGTTTCACCAGTCTATGACGCTCGATTCTGGAACCCGGAGCCTGCGGAGAAATATTCATTCAAGCACCCACGACCAAAGAAGCCAGAAAGCATTCGGGTGTATGAAGCCCACGTCGGAATTTCTTCTCCGGAGCAGCGTGTCACTACATACGACGAGTTCACCGACAAATTGCTTCCCAGAATTAGAGACCTTGGCTACAATGCTATCCAGCTGATGGCCATTATGGAGCATGCGTACTATGCTAGTTTCGGATACCAGGTCAACAGCTTCTTTGCTGCGAGCAGCCGGTATGGAACCCCTGAAGGTTTGAAAAGGCTTGTCGACACTGCACATGAAATGGGAATTGTTGTGTTGCTGGACGTGGTTCATAGCCATGCGTCAAAGAATGTACTTGATGGACTCAATGAATTCGATGGAACCGACCACCAGTACTTTCACAGTGGAAGCAAAGGCACCCACGATCTTTGGGATAGCAGACTCTTCAACTACGGCCATCACGAGGTGATGCGATTCCTACTGAGCAATCTCCGATTCTGGATGGACGAGTATCACTTTGATGGCTTCCGCTTCGATGGCGTTACCAGCATGCTCTACCTGCACCATGGAATTGGAACGTAGGTCAAATATCTCTCCATCTCATGAACTCGTAATGTTAGCTAACCGGCCCGACCAGTGGATTTTCTGGCGGATATCATGAGTACTTTGGCCCTGATGTCGACGAGGAGGCTGTTGTGTACCTGATGGTTGCCAACGAGATGCTGCACTCACTCTATCCCGAGTGTGTAACTGTCGCCGAGGATGTGTCGGGAATGCCGGCTCTGTGTCTCCCTCTGTCACTTGGTGGCGTGGGTTTCGACTACCGACTGGCCATGGCCATCCCTGATATGTGGATTAAGATTCTCAAGGAGAAAAAGGATGAACAGTGGGATCTTGCCAACATATGCTTCACTTTGACTAATAGACGTCATGGCGAGAAAACCATTGCCTATTGTGAGAGTCACGACCAAGCGTATGTTAGACCCCTACTCGATGATGGAGATGATGCTAACGTTTAGATCCATCCAGGCTTGTCGGAGACAAAACATTGATGATGCATCTATGCGATGCGCAATTATATGACAACATGACCACTCTCAAGCCGTTGACGCCCGTTATTGACCGTGGAATGGCGCTGCACAAGATGATTCGACTTCTTACGCACGGATTGGGTGGTGAGGGCTACCTCAACTTTGAAGGTAACGAATTTGGTCATCCTGAGTGGCTTGATTTCCCTCGAGCCGGAAACAACAATTCATTCTGGTACGCCCGTCGACAGCTGAATCTCACGGAGGATAATCTGCTTCGATACAAGTTCCTCAACACATTTGACAAGTTGATGAACCACTGTGAAGAGCGTTATGGCTGGCTCCACGCGCCCCAGGCTTACATCTCCCTAAAGCATGAAGGTGACAAGGTCATTGTGTTTGAGAGAGCGGGACTTGTCTTTATTTTCAACTTCCATACCAGCCAGAGCTTCAGCGACTACCGCATCGGCGTTGAAGTGCCCGGAGAATACAAGATTGTCCTGAACAGTGACGCGGAGGAAGTGGGCGGCCACAACAGGCTCGATGAGAGTACTCGCTTCTTCACAACGCCCATGGAGTGGAATGGGCGGAAAAACTGGACTCACGTGTACATCCCATGCCGAACTGCTATTGTAAGTCTTTATCTAAGCCCACCTCTTAGGGAATTCACGCTAACTCGAGAAATCTAGATATTGGCTTTGGCTCAGTGATCTATGGGTCAGTATATTATGGCTATGTAGCTGTGATATTTCCAAAGTTTTATCATATTGTGCTTTTAAAAAAAAAAATGTTTCGCTTTATACTGCTTATCATAGCGTAGGCCATGTGTATTATACCATTGCATGATGTAGGAGGGACTGGTGCCAGCAGTTGCTTGTAAACTAGAGTTGTACCGGAAAGAATGATTAACCAGCCAATACTAATAGGGCATTCAATGTGATTCAGTTTAATCAAGATTCTGTCTGTCTGATTGCTATACCCGAGTTACTTTCATTCAATATGCTGAGGTTCAAGCCTTATATATGGAGCCCTCCACAGTGTCGAGATAGCTCCTCGGCTCTAGTGGGGTAAGAGGGGCAGTTTACCGGGATAGCTGTGTTGAAGTTTCCAACTCCGATTGCGCTTTTCCACCGCTTGCACGTGCTATGGCTGTCTGATTTTACGTCCACATCTTCTTGCTCATATCAAGCCTCGATTAGCAATGCTAGGCCGTCCTTATCTAGCTCTATGCGCTCTACCGCGGGCCGGGCGCATCGTTGGACGGCTGTTTTCTAATCCTCTATCACAACATGCTGTTCGACGCCGGTCTGGTCCGTATGGCTACACCCAGGCCAAGGCTCTTGTCTTTTCCCAGAATGGAGAGCCGTCGGACGTATTGAAGTGAGTGACTATCACCCAATTGGATGCCGAAATTGGGAGTCAATCAGTCGGCTAACGATACCTGCCTACCTAGACTTCACACGCACTCCATCTCTCCCTCGCTTTCTTCTAAAGCCGTCCTGCTGCGGGCTCTTGCGGCTCCCATCAATCCTGCCGATATAAACACCGTCCAGGGCACGTACGGCTCCCAGCCCAGCTTCACTTCCCTCATCGGAACCTCTACCCCGTCCGCGATCCCCGGAAATGAGGGCGTCTTCGAAGTTCTCGCCACGGGCGATCCGTCTTCCCCAGTTCGCAAGGGAGATTGGGTGATACCGGCCGTTGCGCAGTTTGGCACGTGGAGGACGCATGCCGTGGCAGACGTGGACGAGATAATCAAAATCAATAAAGAAGGCCTGAAGGCGACTCAGGCGGCGACCATCTCTATCAACCCCGGCACGGCATATCGCATTCTAAGAACATACGGCCCCAACGCTGGAATCAGCAAGGCTCTTGGCATGCGACCGCTCGAGGTGGGCAGCGGCCAGTGGTTTATCCAGAACGGCGCCAATTCCGGCGTGGGCAGAGCGGCCATACAGTTTGGCAAGCTCTGGGGCCTCAGGAGCATCAACGTCATTCGCGAACGAAGCTCTCCCGAGGCGACGGAAGAATTGAAAAAAGAACTCACGGGTCTTGGCGCCGATGCCGTTGTGACGGAGACACAGTTCTTATCTCGGGAGTGGAAAGACCAGCTGGCGGAAATCACAAACAAGGGCCGCGAGCAGATTGGGCTTGGTCTGAACTGCGTCGGCGGCAAATCTGCCACGGCTCTTGCTCGATCGCTCGGTGAGGGCGCCACAATGGTGTCGTATGGAGGCATGGCTAGGCAGCCTGTTGCTCTGCCTGTGGGGTTGCTCATCTTCAAAGATATCCGCTTTGTTGGCTTCTGGCTTTCGCGATGGAATCAACAGGATCCCACCGGGCGCAGACACATGACTGATTACATCGTGGATAGTATCCGCGAGGGTAAATTCCAAGACGTTCCTCTGGATGAAGTGGCGTGGAACTGGGAAACCGAGGCTTCTACTCTGACGGAGGAAGTGCAGAAAGGCCTTCAGGGCTTCAGAAAAGGTAAAGGCATATTCGTGTTTGGCGATACATGAATTGATATTTGGAAAAGACCAGTGTAAATGAAAAGGACTGCAGAATACGTGCGTAAATGGACTTTGATGTAAAACATAGTTTAATGGGATGGGATGGGATTTACTGTATTCAATAGAATGATGCAATAATATTTGGTGTTGGGCAGGGCAGCTTTCTAGCTTAATCGCTTCTATTTATATTACAATATATACACATGGAACACCTATTCTTGCTATGAAGATCCAACATCAACCCGCCATGACTGAACCAGTCCATCGTCGCCTGTTGTTACCAGCATTTCTTCTTCTCCCTTCCTTGTTGAGCCTGCATCATATCGCCTACACCAGGTGATGTGATTGATCTCGTATGGTCCATGAGCACTAGGCAATGTGGTCAGTAGCTGCCATTGTGGCCCGCTAGCAACAGAGTCATTGTCAATCAAGGTTGCATTGCCATCCGAGGCTTTATCCTCGGAGACTGCCGGGGGGTCTAATGGAGCAGCAGCTTCTTCCTCTTTGTATAAAGCAATAACACCGTCACTCCCAGTGCTGGCGATGAGGCCAGATTCAGCGCTCCATGTGACTGAATACACATCCTTGTCGTGCACCTTGGGGAGCACAGCCGTGCAGTTCCACTGCTCTTTGAAGGACCTTCGCATCGTGCTTGGTATACCACCCAGGCCCTGAGCCATCGCTGGGCCCTCCCCATCAGCGTTGTCTTGTCCTTGCTCAAGCGTCCACACGCGTATTGTCTCATCAGCAGAGAATGTCAAGAGTCTGGGGAATCGATTGTCTCTCGGCTTTGGTTCCCACTCTACGCCCCAGACGGTGCCTTCATGTCCTTGAAGAACAGCTACGCAAACCCATTCTCCATCCGAGTCCTCGCGCCAGATTCGAGCTGTGTTATCGTAGCTGGCGCTGGCAAGAACATCGACGCTGTAGTATCGCTGCCCAACGCTGTTGCGCCCAGGCACATCGGGACACCAGGCTACGGCTTTGACGTCTCCCTCATGCTCATTGAGAACGGCGATCGTCTCCCAGTCGTCTTCGGATTCGGAGCTGGCAATGTCCTCCCATATCCAGATGGACTTGTCGCGCGAGCAGGTCGCAAGGTAGTTGCCCGACGGGTTAAACGCGCAGCACTTGACTTCGGAATCGTGGCCCTCTAGCACAAGGTTATAGTCCCATTCGCCAGACTTGGCGGCTTCGTCACCCGCGGGCCCTCTTGACATGTCCTGGCCCAGACCATCGCCGTCGTCCTCGTTGCCGCCCTTGTTCCAGCGCCAGACGCCGGCGGAAGAATCGAAGCTGCCCGAGATGAGGCACAGCTCATGTGGCGGCAGTGCAGGTTTCCAGGCGACGCTTCGGATGGATCGCGCGTGGCCGTCGGTCAAGGCGCTATGGGAAGAGAGAGTCGATAGAGAGAAGACAGTGACATTTTTGCCGTGGGCGGTTGCGATTAGAGGGAGGCTAGGATGCGGTATCGATACCCAGGCTCGTTCATGGAGATCGGGCTTGAGCGACTGCAGCTGGACGATGCGTGTAGAGGCCATGGCCGGGCCTATTGGGGCAGGAATATCCTGGGCTGCTCAAGATGAGTGGGAAAACAGCTCGCAGAGCAATCCAATTTTGAGAGGTATGGGCTGTAGAAGACGTATAAGTAAGCACAAAAAAAGGTGGGATGAAATGCCCCTCGGCGATTGCGAACCCCCACCTCCCGCAGCATCATCCAATGAGGGGCAGATGATGTGTAACTTGTGAGCTTAAAGCAACGCATCGAATATCTAGATTCTGCAAAACCCCTGGTAAGCCAATCTACAGGGTAAATACAATTGAATACAGGTACCTACATGCCGCGCAAGTGTAAGCATCTTCAAATGGCATTGGTTGGGAGCTTGGTTTTGGACAGGGACAGCTGAGATCCCCTGGGTAGGCATGCAAGTAATAGCTTGGCAAACCCAATCATGTAACACAGATTCGGGATCGAACCAATACAATGAAGCTTAATATAAACTAGTCACTACTGCCTAGCACCACGACCCTCTTCGCAGTGGGCACTATCTGAACTCGTCAATGGCCGAGACAAGTGTCGTACAACAGGTACCTATATATGGAGTGCGCAACGGGACGATTTACGACAATATCTTCAGACATGCCATTCATCTATAGCGAGACCATACCTCCAGCTATCCCAACCTCATAATGGCGACCCTCGTAGCTCTCCCGCACGAATTATCCCTTCATATCTTCAGCCTCCTCGAGTGCAACAACAAAGTCCATCTGAGTGCTACATGCAGGTCATTCAGAACTCAGTTGATACCCGAAATTTTCAGTACAATACGATTCACCAGCGATGAGGCATCAGCAGCATCTGCATTGGCCGCCGTCGAAACTTACGGTCAGTACACGAAAAAAATCGAGTTCACATGTCAATGCAATCATGAAGAGAGCCCACCGCCACCGGGGCCATCTCTGCCGCCAGCAGCTTGCAAGCTCTTGAAAGGCCTCCTGACGCCAAACTTGCACACGGTCAAACTCGGGTTTCAATTCGGCCTCGATGATGAGGACCTCGACCCCTTTGATATTTATGATGATTTAGAGGACGCCGGCAGGGTTCGCCTGTCGGAAAGGCAAGACAGGTGGCGAGCGCAGATGAATGGGGCTTGGGAGGCCCTTGTGGGTAATGCCCTTGTAAGAGAGCTTATCCTTGATGAGCTGCCCGCAAAATGGACCTCTACATATGATACCGATGCCTTTCGCCGTTTTCTCAACCAACTTGAGTCTGCGACGATTCATATATTTGGCATTCCATATGAAGAGTGGCGGAGTAATATAACAAGCGGCTATGAAGATTTTGTCAACAAGTTGGGTGCTGCATTTTTCAGCCATATGGACGGACTCAAGCATTTACATCTCTGGGCGACAGATCCGCTCGGCCTCGCGGGTGAAAGGATGCCTTACACCAAGCTTCCTTTGCGTCCTGAAGACCTCCCTGCTTTACAATCTCTCACGCTGGAAAACAGTTTTGTCAGTCCAGAGTTGATTCCGTTCATAAAATTCCACGCTCAGGTCCTCAAATCTCTCCGCTTAAACGAGTCCTTCTGTGGGGACTACTTATCCTGGACCGATTTTTTTGATCAAGTATACGAAGGGAAGCCCTCACTTACCGAAGTGATATATAGAGGCGACAAAGCGCCATTTATGATCGACGAGGAAGACGAAGTGTGGTGGGCTGACGAGTCAGATCTTTTGCATTTCCGCCAAAGGCTGGAAGCAGATCCAACACTGAATGTGTTTCGGCGGGGACATTTAGACCCAGATACAGGAGTGCTCTTCTTTAATCTCCGTGAGGAATTGAAGAGGTTTAACCAGGGTGATGATCAGAGGGCATACGTTCGTCTCATGGGACTAGTCAATGGAAACAGGGCAGAGGCAAAGGTTAACTTCAGATAGCTGCAACGTTTCACCCTGCAACTTCAACAGATGAGGTCAGCTGTCTCCTCCTTTGCGTGTCATCGTCGAAATGTCGCCTGTGCTTGGTCGTTCGAATTCCTGCCGTCAGCATCGTCATGCCGTCATTGAACTTGTAATACCTGATAGTTAACAATACATCTGGCGTGTAAAGGTTGCAATCAGAACAAGGCATAGGCGCCCAGTGTCAATTTTCATTCAACTTGCGACTTACTCGAATGTCTATACTCATAGTATAATAAAATCTGAATGTCACAATCCAGTCATTCGATGAACAGTCAAAGCAATTGTTCATGATCCACACAGAGGTCATTAGGCTATTTACACACTGAGCATAAATGCGGTATTCATTTCTCATTCAACAACTGCTAGGACAAAATTTCGCCACCCACACAGCCGACCAAAGCCCTAGGTTTTTGCTCGTGGTGGAGGTAGGGGATCTGCATGGGTGGCCACAGAATTGGAGTTGTGTCTGGGCGGTGCATCTGAATAACCATCCCCGTCTTCATAATCGTCTTCATATCCGTCGCCAGAGTGGGTGGAACGGCTCTGTTCATTAGTCATGGCGGGTGAAATGTCAGTTGGTCGCGTAGCCTGGGGCTGGTCTGAGATATGGTCGTTCGTATGGCCATTTTTTGCTTTTGCCTTGTTGTGTTTCTTCCCCTTTCTGCTTTTTGCTTTTGCCTTTTCTAATAATCGTTTTCGGTCTGCTTCTTCCTGGCGATGTCGACGATCCTTGATTTCGTAATCTCGAATGAGAGTGCGGGGAGGTTCGCCAAAGATGCGTTCGTACTCGCAGAACTCACATATCCAAATCTCGGCCGTATCTAATATGCTATGATAATAGTTTTCCGTCGCAATTTGGCGTCGGTGGCGTGCAGCTATAGCCAGTTCCCTCTCTAGATGGCTGCGAGACTTTCGAGTAGAGCCAGCAGGGTGCTTACTGACTTGCTTTGATGGGCTGCCCTGTGTTACACTGGGACTCGGGGGAGGTGCAGCTGGTAAATTTTGTGACGACTGAGTTGATACACTTTGACCTGCGGAGCGGCCTACGGAACGATTAGCGCTGCAGCCGTAGGGAAAAGGGCATCTGGATCTAAAACCTGCCTGGCCACTGTATAGCTCCGGGTGTTTGTGGCTCACAAGTGAATGTGAACTGAGTAGAAGCAGACATTGCCCTGTAAGCAGTCAATTGCGGCAGCAACAGACTTCCATTCTCCTGTCCTTGCAGAGGTTCTTTCTCGGCAGTCGCAATTGCATTCGATATAATACCACCTCCAGTCTGGCCTGCATCTAATGATATCAGCATATACTATACATTTATGTATAACTAAATTCAACGAAAAGAGCGTACCGGCCGTTGTCCACTGGGATGAATTAGCCCTTGAACGGCTGGACCAGACATTGCTTCCATCTGACAAAGTTCGCAGGGGACTGCGTCCGTTATTAGATCGCCCAAGTCTCCCTCTGCCAGATCCAGATAGTCCTTGGCTGCTTGAAACATGCGAATTGTTTCCCGGGGACGCAGCCGGGGCCAGCGATGCTCTACTACTGGGTACTTCAGCCACCGGTGACCGAGCTCGCATAGAATTCGATATCGATGACGCACTGGTATCGCCGCCCAAAGATAGACTGTTGTTTGCTAAAGAATCTCCGGTAGTGGGGATTTTCCGCTTCTTCTTGTTGTTGGTGTTTTCAAAAGACTCGTAGCCGTCCGCCGATGAAGCAGCAGATGGTATCACTTGTAACTCCATCGTCTGGCGAAGAGGGTCCAACGCTGCAGAGGCTTGTATTACCACACCCTGAATTTTCGGCGACGATCCCATCATAAGGGTTTCTCGCCATTCTTCCTTGAATACAGCTGCCATAACAGCCCCATTCCGTCGCAACGTAGAATTCCTTCTAGAATCATCACGATGGTGTTGGAGAGTGGGACTAATCGATGTCAAAGCGGGTATCCCGTTGTCGTTCCTCGTAGTATAAGATGGATAGTAGAATAGAGGTATATGGTCGTGGATATTGGAGGGATATTTGATCGAGTTGGCTACCTCTGGCGATAACCTTTCCCGAAGTCGGCGTTTCGGCAGGGGCCGAATCGGCCGATCGGGAAATAACAACGACACGGCATCAGGAGACATTATCATTCGTTGTTCTAGTCATGCAGTCGAACGAGTTTGTTAGCCTCAGAACTGTCAACAGGGTATTGAGAACGGGGAATATGCAGTGGGGTAAAAGGGTAAATGCCCAGTTTGAGTGCTATCGCAGCTGCAAAAAAAAAAAAGGAAAGAAAGAAAAAAAGAGGCATGGTAAAGCATTGTGATATCATATAGCGGGGCGCAAAAAGAAATCAAGATATAGAAAAATTAGGCTCGAGGACAGTCTACTCGTCCATAGTTGTCTGAAAGGTCAGAATGTCGAGAAAAGCGCACCTACCACATATCGTACAAAAAGAAAATCGTTAGGCTTTAGAAATAGTGACAAAACGGTCGCGAGAACACTAAATTGATGTAGATAAAAGAACAAGGTAAACTGTAGCCGCTATTCAAGCGAGAGAAGAAGATGGCCAGCCAGCTTCGATAACTGCCACAGCCTTGAACTTGTGGCCAAAGGCACTGAACGTCGATATTTATAAATGGGTGAATTCCACCGGGCGGGCGAATGTCCCCTTCAGAAAGAGAGACTGGGCGACACGGTCGCAATATGTCGCACAAGATATTTAGCCAGCAAATACAGTCCGATTTCAGAAACCCTCGCCCAGATACTAAATCATTCGTGCGTTCGGAGGATGAGAACCGTGGATTTCTCAGAATATCAGTTGCAGCAAATCTGCCGGCATAGGCGCAAACGGAATCGGCTTTCGTGTTGGCAGGGGGGCGGGCCCTGGGGTTCGATGGTTCGATTTCCAGAAGAGTTGAAATGCCCAATATTTTCTGAACGATCGAGTTCGTGAAGAAGCGAGTAAATCAGCGGCGCAGCAGCACTGAGCGCAGGTAGTCGTAATTAATGAGTCGTTGATGGTCTTGTGGATTAGGAGGGAACCTAGACAGGACCGACAGCCACCCCACAGTTTGGTAAGCAGGGAGTAGTATTGGTTGCCATACTCCGCACATAGACAATATACCAGTCGCAACTGTAAAATCGTACTATATTTTCCACATATAATTGAAAATAAGGCTAATGAGTGTTATTTAATTTATAAAAAATTAGAATTTTCATAACGGTAGTCAATAAATAATGAAGTAAAATTGTTTACATATATATATATACATATATAAAAATATATTATTTTATAAATCTATATCAAATACTGTTTAATGTAATTTAATAATATACAGCGTGAAAATTACTTATGTAATGATGTAATGCTTTAAATCAGCTCAGCCTGCCCTGTGCTAAATGCTCCCTTTAGTTCTACACCACTACGAAGTGCCATCACCTTGCTTAAGTACTTGCTGCACTCCACAGCGGGAACTGAACTGCATTGAGCAGCCAAATTAACATCAACGATGCGACCGATATAGCTCAAGATCTTGGTTAGGAGACACTTTCGTTCTGCATCGACTCTCGCGGCCGGGTTGCAATGGCCAGTCTAACGGGCCACACTCTTTTCAAGAAGAAAGAGGGCATCCTCTCCTTCAGCAGTGACCATGGAGCGATAACTTGGACACCAGCATCGGGAGGCCCTGCAACGATCTCACTACCAATCAACAATATAACTAGTAATTCTTGTTGGATTCCTTGTGTGTGATAACGGCAACTGACGCTGGCTAGATCTGCAGCAAACCCCCGACAGCTCTCCGAAGGTTATGCTTAAAATATTCGAAAAGTCCGAGAGCGGAAACGACCCCGTTACATACCTCTTTCATTTCAACACCCAGGAAGCCAAGGCAGAGGCGCAAGCAATCAAAGATCTCCTTTCTCGACTCTTGGCCGATCTCAGAAGCACCGATGCAAACGTGTCCAAGTTAGGTGCTGCCACCGCAGCGCCCGCTGCTAATGGAGATGGCTCAGCAAGCGCCTCTGCCACTTTAGGATCCTCCAACGGCATAAATTCACAATCAATGTCTCCAAAATGGTTCGACGATAGCCAATTGAAAACAAACATTGAGCTACAGCAATCTCTCATGAAAAAAGACAAGAGTCTGCATCAAACTTACATGAGCGCTATATCAACTAAGCCAGATTCGATGACAAGTGCCGCCTTCAATTCCCAATTCTGGTCCATGAGGATAAATCTGTTGAGAGCTCATGCTATTGAAATCAACCAGAAAAAGGGGGCATATAATGTCCTTTCTACTGTTAAACCCCGGACTGTTGATGGAGAGTTAAAATTGAATATCAGCGTCGAACAGGTCCAAATGATCTTCGCTCAGCACCCGTTAATCAAACGAATTTATAATGAAACCGTACCGAGAGTCTCTGAGGCGGAATTCTGGTCGCGGTTTTTCCTCAGCAAGCTAGCCAAGAGACTCAAGGGAGAACGCGTCACGGACAATGACCCTGCAGATGCCATCTTTGACAAATACAATGCCGATGGCAATGCGCTTGATGCTCATGCGAAAACTATGAGCCAGCCTGTTCCTCACATAATCGACATTGAGGGTAATGAGGAGAATCAGGGAGGATTCAAAGGAGGCAATGCCAAGGATGTCGAGATGCGACCTAGAGCTAATATTCCCATTGTTAGGACGCTTAACAACTTGAGCGAGAAAATCTTAGCCAATGTTCCTCCCTCGGACAGCACAACGATTGATTCAAAGGGACTTTACGATACGTCTCGAGAATTAATCCTACGAGATTTGAGGGGAGAAGGGGAGGAAAAACGTATTATGCTCAATATCAAAGAGAGGAATAACTTTTTCTCGTCCAAAGATTCCCCGTCGCTAAAAAATAGAGACATTTTTGGGAACCAGCTGCCTGGCGAGATACTCGCCAAAATGCGAAATCTATATGCGGCCGGGAACGATAAGGCCACAGACAATGGGCTTCAAATTAACATAGATCTCGACGTAGATAGTGATAGCGACAAAGAGTCGAAGCCCGGGGTCAATACCGCCCGTGATGCAGTCAAAGAGGCAGAAAAGGATGTCATGGCCGGTATATACCAACAACGCTCCCAAAAATACGGGGGCGCCTCAGATGATTCCTCCCCGATGGGAATCCCCTCCCAAATTTCCGAAAAATCCGCGCTTACTCATGCCACAACCATTGAGTTCCTTCACCAGTTTTGGGATGGTTTTCTTTCTGGCGATCCTGATCGGGCGATGGAGGTTCAATATTTGGCTGAATCGCTAGCAAGGTCCACAACGCGCATCCAGGCCGTAGCTGACGAGGCTGAGGCTGAGCGCGACAACATCATTCAGAAGCGCAAGCAAGAGATCCGTAGCCACTTTGAACGCACAGGAAAGAAGATCCGGTGGAAGCCAGACATGGTGGGCGGCGGCCGTGATGCTGTCTCCAAAATAATGCAGCCAACGCTAGATGCACTACGGCGAGCACAGGACTCTTATTCCAAGGCACTGGGAGAAGAAAATATCCAAATATCAACGGAGAATGCGTAAATAAATTCTATGTCTTCTCCCCTAGTGAGCTCGTCAGAGCCTGGCATTTCATGCGAAGGGCGGTAGATTAAAGATGGGAGCTCAAAGATGCCATAGGCTAGCACTGGAGCCGCATATAACATTTGGGCCCTGCAGTTGACGAGGTTGGCAATTGTATGCCTCTTTTACAAATGTTTGCTTTGCTTTTATGCTTGCCGCACCAGCATTCCAGAGCTAGGTCCAGCCGAGTCACTCTGCCATGATGCAGCATCACTACCGAAACTACAAAATTTGGATCATCTGGAGTTTTATATGCTGGTAATAATACCCCGTAATAATATACTGGTCTCATCGCCTTTAGATGGGTAATTCATCATCTAACAGAAGCATGGCGCTTGTCTTCAACAAATCCAAAACCCATGGCTGACTTGGCGGTGCTTCTTTTTCTGTTGCCATATTCCTCGTCAAATTTGCGTATCAGTTTTAGAGATATCATATCCTCGCTAATGCTTGCAGGAATGCCCTTCAGGGCCTTGTCAAAATGAGATTTGCGAAGGATTCGTCTTTCGGGATATTGGAATGGGGTAGACTCTTTGTGTTTGGCCGCAGCCTCGTTTTCTTCTTCCACTGCCGCCATTGCAGCTGCAACGCACATATTCTTGAGGTCAGATCCTGAATAGTATGGTGTCCGACGTGCATATTCATCCAAAGAGACAGATTCATCCAGAATCTCGTCTTTGAGTAGTAGTTCTAAGATGGCCCGTCGATCGTTCTCGAGAGGAAGATCGACAAGAATCTTTCGTGGCAATCGCCGCAAAACAGCATCGTCCAAGTCAAAAGGGCGATTTGTCGCAACCATTATAAAAGCATTTGTCTCTTCCATACCGTCCCACTCCTTGAGAAATTGATTGATATGCTCACGATGAGACGCCCGGTTAGCAAACATACTTCGACTAGCCAGTAAAGAATCCGCTTCATCGATGAAAACAACGCAGGGTGTCAGTTTTTTAGCCAAGGTAAACACCGCGCGAATGAGCTTTTCACTCTCTCCGACCCATTTATCATTGATAGAGGCACCGCTGACTTCGAGCATATTGGCGCCGCTGTCTTTAGCCACTGCCTTTGCGAGCATAGTTTTACCAGTTCCAGGAGGTCCGTACAAGAGGCAACCAGAGATTTTATCTTGCGCCAAAACACCATAAGAAAATGCATCTGGTCGCACGAGGGAAAGTGATGTGAGAAGTTTCAAAGCAGATATAGTTTCGGGCGGAGCATGAACATCTGCGAATGTTGTCCGAAGATTTTCTCGGTTGATTTGGCCAGAAGCTATTCTTTTCTCGTATTCATTCAATTTCATTGCGGCTCGGCTTTCCGTTGTGCTATGATCGTCCCTTGTAACGCCATTAAGCATGTCACTCTCAACAGCATCTTCGTTGGAAAGTGAATCTCCGGGCCACTGTTGCAGATGGCCTAAAGCAAACCGTTCTAAGAAACCGGAGGGCATGCTGCTACCGGGGCTAAACTTGGGGCGTTCCTGCAATTTGAAGGCGCATGCCAGATGATAAATTTCTGGTGCTGGGAGAATTGAGTTTTGTAGTATGGAATATCTGGGATTTGAGGAACGCAGATATGATAAAACAGACTCAAATGACAAGCCAGCTACCTCTGGCGATGCTTCGGGATCCAATGCTCTTAACATACGAGCAATGTTATTGACATTTTCAGCGAGATAATCAGCTTTTTGTAGGTGGAATGACGACCCCTGAGTTCGAACATTTCCTTTGGGTGCAGTATACTGTTCGATGAAATCTGGCTGAATATGACGAGTGACAACAAAGTCGTTCGTGGCGAATTCTTTGATAGCATTTCGATACTCTTCCGACGGCTGCTCGCAAGAAGATGATCCAAATAGAGCAATTGGTAGCCCTTGTTGCCAAGCAATATCAGCGAGGGCTCGCAGCCGGCTGATCAGGAGAGACCCCTCAATCGTCATGCTCAGTTCAACTATGTCGTGAATATGAATTAATACCGGTCGTGTGCGAGGCTGTGTAGATCCAACACCTGCGGATCGAATAATTTGATCCAAAATTTTGTCAATCTTGAGGTTTTCCCATTTACTAAAACTTTCATATTCTCCTTGACGTAACTTCTGAAGCTCCTCCACCACGGCTGAAGGGCTCGAACTACCCGGGGCGATGCCAACTTCCGCATCGGATTCTTCATCTTGGCTCTCCAGTGGCGTATCATCTCGACTTTGCGCCATCTTCCCACTCAATTCGGCGACTCTAAAACCTAGCATTGAGAGGGGTGTACGCGAATAAGCCCAATTCTGGCCTAGGTAATTGCCCACCAGCTCTGAAAGGTCATACGCATCCAGGTGAACCAGGTCCGCACCGCTGTAGTGTGCAAAATGTCTCCCTATTGCTTCTGATATTGATTTTCCCCCATATCCAAACATCGAAAATACTGTAATCGGCCTCTTGCTCGTTTTGTGATCGAACGTTGGTGATGGCGATGCAAAAAGTTCGCGGTTAATCATCGTTCGTAGGGCAATAAACGTATCAGCGGGGAGGTCGGCGATGATGTGCGGTAAGGCATAATCATATCGCTCCGCAAAATCAAGTTGATCATCCAAAGAAATAGAGGCAGCAAGTGGGGAGAATTGATCATGGCGAGTCGTCGTACCACTTTTAAGAACTTTAAGAACGTGAGACCACCAGAAAGGTCGAACTTGGTAGCTATGTTCAAATTGACGAGTTGGGCATAGGGAATCAATCAGACAATTGGAAGATTCAATGATCATATCCCCAATCCGCACTGCTCGCGCTATAGTCTCCGGAGATTCCCATCTTCGGTCATCCTGGTCTAAACGGGAATTCTCCAGATCTATCGCGAGCTCGCCGCTCCGGACAAAGAGGTGTCTCAGTGCTGTCTCGAAATATATCTCCAGTGCCTCATATTTCTTTTTGAAAGAAGGACCTTGCTCAGCAACAGCTTGAAATAATTTTTTATGCCTTGCATCTTCTGCCAGCGCAATAGGAAGCTGTGGCCGTCCCTGGGCTGCGTAGAGTGATAGATTATTCTGAAGAAACGTTTGCGATAATTCAACTGGTGGCAGAGCAGTCACTTGTTTCTTTCGTTGCTGGCGTGTCCTTGTAGGCCCAGCCGCATGTCCCCTCCAGCGTCCACCAGATGATTCTGTACCGGTTTGGTTTTCAAGCTCATCGCCATGATCCGCTGAGTCTTCGACAGGCTTGGAGCCATTTCCTCCACTGCGACTGTTTAACTGGACGGCGGACGAATGAAGGGCTCGCGAAATACGTGATGATAGCCGGATAGCCAATGGAACCATCGGCAGGATTCCGACAGTCTGTGTATGCATCCGATCGAATGGCTAGCAAAGGATCAAGCACATAGCTCACCGTCAATCATGAGTCCCTCCAGTAACTGGTCGAGCTGGTGGACCATCGACGTGCTGATTGGGGCGTGCATGGAATAAAATAGACCCAAATGCTATTGAAAATTTAATAGTGCTAGGTACCTATCTAGACTACCACTTACGTATCTAACGCAAGATTAGCTGTCTACCTAAGTAGAGAATAGCTCAGAAAAAAAATAGTATTATTATATTTTGGTAGTTAGTTAGTATGATTTAGAATACGAAGAGCGTTTAATAAATTACATGGTTATTTAATACTATTTATTTGACATTTTTTTCTTAATTTTAAAATAGCAGATTTATCAAGTACTTTTATTTGCCTTATTTGAGGTGGTAAGGCTAGGTATTCTTAGCTTCTGCGGCACTAGAGCTCGAGATGCATGCGCGCTATGACATCCTGGTGGGGCTCTTACCGTTGACATAGGCGCGATGCATTCACGTTTCTCGCCTCATGGAAGCAATGTTTTCTGACAATGTCTGACTGGAGAGAGCGTGGTGAAGTAGCAGATTCTGAAGACGAGGGCGACTTCTCAAGCGATGATGAATCGCCAGCCATTTTGTCGACGCAATTTGCAACGAAGGCCCCAGTCTCGAATAATCAAGTTGCTGAAAGTATATGGGATTTCCCCGGGTCTGATGATGACGAGCAGAGTCGCGTCCCTATATCGAAGTCGTCTCCAGTGTCGTCGAGACCAGATTTGCGAGAATGGAACCAGCTTCTAAACACTTCGCCATCTCGAACGGAGGATATTGTTGAGAATCAGGTTCAGCCATCGCCTCTGGAGAAAGCAGGAACAAATCCCCCATCTGCTGTTTTCACTGTAGACGACAATGTCTCCCGCAATAGCCATAGTACATTGGACGCCTCCAGCCCTAAATTCAGAAGTACAGCAACAGCCCAAGATGACGGCATTAACACGTCTGCCTCATCACCTTCGATATCGTCAAATGCCTCGGCGACGGCTCAGAGAACTGAGTTTAGACAGCATGATACTCATTGGGAAGCCACAGCGGCTACGTCGTCCCGCCATACGCATTCTTTACGGCAAAGGAGGCCGCAGCAGCAATATCCCTATTCTTATGATAACGTATATTACAGAAAGTTTTTCCCACAACTTGGAGTTAAACCCATGAAATTACCAACTGACATGGGAGGAAGACATCAACCAGCAGGAGCTCTACCGGACGAAAACCTTGATCAGTACAGCCCAGGTGATGGTATGCCGCCAGGAACCAATAGAACGGATGACGGCAGCTTTGCAGCCACCCAGAGTGAACATGATGAGCTAGATATAGCTACAGCCTCTTTGGTCCCATCACGGTCACGTAAACCGTCGACTGCCAGCAGCTTAGCTAGCTTAGCAACCGATATCGTTGGTCATAATGCTCTCGACCAAGATCTGCCAGGCCTAGATGAGCTACTAAATGCACACTCGCCCGCTAGCGATGATAATATTGCAAACCATAAAACATTTCAAGTCTTGCGACTCACACAGAGAGCCAGAAGGCGAGATATTATCTATAGCGATCCACCAGAACCAATGACTACAATTTCCCGAATATCGATCTCTCCCAGTCGCCCCTCAGTGTCTCCAGAAATAGCTTCACAGCGAAGTCCACAGTCAAAATCCAATATTCCCATTGACTGGGATGACTCTTTCACAGAATTGATACCGAGGCCTTTAGTTTCTGCAATAGAAGTGTCTTCTCAGGAGATAAGCAATCAAGATGAGCATGACCAACCAGGGTACAGTGAAGAATCTGAGACTGGGGATGGCGCTGAAAACGACGCATATCAGCTGGTGACCACGTATCGGCGCCGCATCAAAGGCGTTCTTCCCGCTTCTTGGCTGAGGCTAGACCAACAACTGAGTAACAATAACGATCGCCAAGGTCCCAAGAAGAAGACACAGCATCGGCTTCTTAACGAGCAGAAACGTGGTGTAGCTCTGAAAAAGAAGTCAATCTCTAATTCTACCGCTTTCCCCCTTCTCCCGCTGGAATTGGATCAAGGGTCTCTCGCAGACTATACGACAGATGACACATCTGAACATCAAGCCGAGAGGTCTGCCTCACCTCCTCATAGTCAAGGAATCAATCAGATCGATGACATCCCAGTGCCTGTTGGCAGCAAACGTCAGCTCCAGCTTCCTAAGGCGTCAGTATCAAGCAGAAAACGAACCAAATTGTCAACTAGATCTCGGGCCAGATCTAACAAGGCTCGTCGAAGACAAAAGACTATTGACAGCTTTCTCCTCTCTCAACCCGATGTGTTGCCTGAATCACCAGCCGTTGGCCAATTCTCAAATAATGACTCGCAAAAGCCAAAAAATAAGCATAGAAAGTCATTTGACAGACGAAACCCTCGAATGAAATCTATCCCCTTGTTGAGTATTCTTGACACAATAGAGCCAGGCGCCCCTAGATTTATACGAATTGCTGCACGCTCTGCTAAGCAAACACTGAGTCAGGGGCGTAGCAATGTGCAGCAAAAAATCATCAAGCTCGCTACAAGGCAAGACCAAGTAGACGCTATGTCTATTTTGGAAAAATGGAAGTCAGGTACAATTCAGCAGCGACCATCAGTATCGACAGCCAGCAAGTCTAAACGAGTGCAACGCCAAAGAGCAAACATGCGTCAGGAACATTCAAGCGGTGGATCAACTTCAGAGCTCAAATTCGGCACACTGAGAAATTCTTCCCGGAGGTTGATTAAATATCTCCATGAAAGCGGTTCGGCTGGATACAGACGAAGTGATTCATACCAAAGTAACAACACGAGGCCTCAGCCTGAAATGGGTGAGACAAATCCTTTACCTTTACCTGCACCTGTTGCCCGAGCGGCTCAGTTGGAGGTGGATGAAAGAGCGAAGAGAGCCAGGATGTCATTTACTTCCAGGAAAGGGACCTTGGACCATATCTTCAGAACTCAAAAACAAAAGGGGCCCAATTGGCGCTTAACTGGAAATATCAACGCTATAGCTACAAGCTCAACGTCCAGAAATCTCGCCAGAGCAGACCACGCAACGGTAGAGGAGTTCCATGAACCAGTGAACACTCCATTAAGGCCTCTCCGATTTCGGAAAAGCATCAAACCTCGTCGTATTGATATCGAAGCACCCCAATATACCCATGCTAGCGATCCTCTTCCTATACATTCCTCTGTTGTCGACATTGAACCTCTGCCCGAGAAGAACAAGCTCTGCGGTCTGGCGCCCTATGGCTTTCGATATACTAGTCACTTCGAGATATTTCCTCTCATGCCTGATGTCCGATTTCATGAATCAACTTTGCTTGGCAGCGGCATTCTGACGAAATTATGGATGGGAGATTCACACTTAAATATGCAAACACGAATCTCAATCAAATTTGGCGAGCATGTCTTTGACTGGGGCTCTTGGAACGAGAAAGTATCCTCCGAGACTGGAATTTTATTTGATTCAATAGCTGAGCTATTAGAAGACAGCCAACGATCCAATCTATATAATGATAACAGCGCCATCAATGCTATTCAGTCAACCTTGGAATTCATGAGAGGTGCTCTGAACTCAGTGAAGTCTGAGTCACCAATACCCCTCCTCGTATCGCGGCTGCATGAAGTTTTACACAACTTTGTTGCTCGAATAGAGAGAGGGCTAGACCGATCGTTAATAAATTACGCCAAAGACGGTGACCTTATCTTGAAAATGCTTGACGGGATCTTGTTAGCATCTTCCCTATTGATGCATAGTTGTCAAAAAGTGCCACAGTTAGCGGACCAACAACCCGCTGTGGAAGAATTGCTACTGTCGCTATCGCAGTTGATGATTTCGATACTTCTCCGCGGCGGTCTTGACCAGCTCAAACAGATTTACAACGATCTTGGCCAGCTCAATCGCCGCGATCGTACGTTAAGAGGAAGTGTCGTTGCAGTACATTCGTGGACTCTTTTAATACAAATATTTGAGTACATAAGCCCACAGCAACTCTCTTTCTGGGCCGTATTAGAGAGAGTCATACTACAACCTTATATTCTTTCCGGTACCAATGTCCTCGAATTTGAAATGGCCTGGGAGACTATCTTCACACTCCTTCCGTTATTTAAATTTGACAACACTGGAAGAATGGCTACGGAAGAATCTCATAACAAAAGAGCCGAAGGATGGGCGATACCTCAAAAACTTGTCCGACGAGTCTTTCAATTGTATCAGGACAATAATCACCAAGCTGCAAGCTTCAATAGCTACTGCCGGGCTCTGGTTTCACGATGCCACTATTTGGTTCAGCAATGGGGCTGGTTTCATAGCGCGCCTGTTGTCGGCGTCATATTTGATTTCTTCGGATCCCAAAAGCTTGCAAATCTCCGCAATGAAGAAGTTTACCGATCTCCAAGATTCATGAACAATCTCTCCAGTAGGCCAGTGCTTGAGATTGAGGCAGATGACTGCTGCTTTCACATATTTCTCAAACTTCTTGCCGTAAGCATCACAAAACTTCGAGAGTTCGGCTCTAAGAAGGATATCCGTAACCTAGTGACTCGAACAATACCAAATCATAGCCGCTTGTACCTCAAGGAACACAAAATTCTTGAGCGAGATTTGGCAGCTTTAAGAAATCATCATGACCTCATTGGTACACTCTTCTGGGCAGCACCACCCGGCGTCCGACCTCAAGTAACTCTTATTGAAGGGCTTATTACTCCTGCTAGTTCTCATAAAGAAGCATGCTTGATAAACATTAGAGCATGGGCTCAGCTTGCGAGCTTTATTGTTTCATCCGGCGAAGCTAAAAAGTCCTTTGAACCTTTCAGAGAATGGAGACACACATTCTTTCAGCAGACGATAACGCAATTCGACGGCATTGCAGCAGAGATCCATCAGCAGTATCTGGCTCTGTCCAAAGATACGGATCAGTGCGTTCCACAGGACGTTGTGGAGGCTATGATTTCACAGAATAAAGCGGCTGTGGTGGAGACTCTCTATCTATCATTTGCAGCTTCAGCAAATGTAATGAGAGAAGCTCTAGATTTAGAGGCGGCGACGTACTGCTTAAACACGCCTCACTTAGAACGGATTTTTCAATATTTCGCCGTGCCACTACCCGAACTTGACTGGTCGATTTTACGAGTAGCATTGGCTGTATTGGATATATTTGTGTCCAAAATCGAAGAATTCAAAAACTGCCAGGAAAGCCAGCAGGGCGAGAGTCAAATCTTAGACTCTGCGCAAGCAGACGATGCGTTCCTGATCCTAGAGCAGGACATTTCTCGGACTTACTTTGCAATGGCGCGATGCATATTATCATTTCCAACAGAAATGCCCGATCAGCCAAAGGCAGATATGGCCGACAAGGCCTTTTGCGTTAGGCAGGTCATTACATTATCCGCGAGAATAGGGATAGGCTTCAATAACTGTGGCCTACTAAAACTTTCAGATATGTTTCAGCCTGGCAAGTTTTGCCTTTTTAGCGACGATCAGCATATTCTGGACTTACCTCAACGGCAATTTTTTATATTGTTCACGTCCACGCTACTGGAGCACGAGTTTGATGACTTTTCTGACGCGGGTTTTACCGTTCCTGAAGTATGGGTAGCAGCATTAATCACGCCTCTCAAATATCTGAAGTACGAAAAACTTATTGCTCTGCAAGCTTATTGTTTTGCTAAAGGCATTGTGCCCGATAACATCATCGACTCAACGACTCAGCCTAGCTATAAAACAAATAAACAACTGTTCGACCTCACAGTTTCGTCATTGCGCAAAATTACTCGCAGCTTGGAGCCTGGCACTGGACGACCACTCCCTAAAATACTTGAGCTTGCGATGAGGCTGATGCAACACGACTTAAGTGTCATGTATACAGACGCTTCTCAGCACCAGAACTACGTTGTCTTCGTCCAAGGCATAATATCGTCAATTAGGGCACATGGCTCAGGTTTATGCATGGTGGACAGCTTCTTCCTTCAAGTCAGCAAGGAGTATTCACCACCCATTCAGGACCCGCACCTTCAAATTGCAAGTATGCTATCGTATGGCATCCTGATAGAAGAAGGGGAAGAGGCTGGGGCAGCTAAGCAACTATTCTTCCTATTGCTTAGCAACTTCAAACACGCGTTGGCAAATGGGAACCCCACAAATGATGCCAGAATGCTTCAGAAGGGCATGAAGGATGCATACCCTACTGTGGAAAAGGTCCACACTGCACTAAAGCAGGCCTCACAGGGGCAGGCCTCACAGGCCTCACAGGGGCAGGGGCCCACGCCCAAGGGCGTTTCATTGAACCGCCCCACGCCCAAGGGCGTCCCGTCGGACGGGCAGGGGCCCACGCCCAAGGGCGTTTCGTTGAACGGGCCTTGC